CATAAATTATTCCGGAATTCGCTGTTGTTGATTGGTAAACATAGCTACGAGTGTTAGTGTTATTTTGTTGTTGTGATTTAATTCCTTTGTATTCATTATGCAGCTAATACTAGTATTGAATCTAAGGCAAATATTGTGGCCCTATGTTTAAATGGTCGTAATATATCTTAAATATCGAATGAAACCGGCTTATGCGTAAGTATTTTTTTGACGTGACAACGTCTTATGAATTGGTTTGCCGGGTGACACTTCAAGAAACTGCGTTACGCTCCGCTCACGTTATGCGCTCACAATGAGAGCGAGTGAGAGGCACGCGTCTCTTCCACTCGGGCATGGTTAGCCCGCCTAAGAGCGAGAGAGACAGACATAAAAAGTGAAAGGCACGCGTCCCTTTCACTCGATCACAGTTCCTACTATACGAATGAATATTCACATTAAAATTATTTTACCACTCAAAGTCGTTGTCACGTAAAACTTTCGCCCGTATACCGACTTTACAGGCAACCAATTTTTTTAACTTTATGATGTGATGATACCTACAAAATAATATAAATAAATTGTTTGTTGCAAGTGAGTAATATTAATATTTTTATTTTTAGAAAGAGACTAATAGGCGTTGGGTGAAGAGATTTGAAGAAGATGGTAGTCTGAAGAGTTGTAATAGGAGTGGAAAACCACCTCTTTTAGCCTACCTTGGCGACGTTATATGGTAGCTGAATATGAGACGAATGGTTTCATCCCCACAAGGCGTTTTACTGATGAGTGCGGAACATCAGCACTCACCGTTTTTAACGCAACGGCATAAAGAGGAGAGGTTACGTTTTGTCCGGAAATATTTGGACTTTGTGAATAGTGAATATGTGGGGGTGGATAAGTGCTCAAGGGCCTGATGAATTAAGTTTTATTTCAAGGCGAGCCTACAGTGCCAATTATGTGGAAGTGTTGAACGATGTTATGTTGCCTACGGAGCGTAATGTCTACCCTGCAGAAGACGTAAGCGAGATAAGTTTTGTGCAAGATAACTGTCCCATTCAGCATGCCAGCGTTGTTCGTGAACGGTTTACTAATCAACTTGAAACTTGGTCAGCTCGGTCCCTTAGGCTCCATAGAAGTAGAAAATATTAAAAATCTTAAACAGATAGTATCCTGCTCTGTCAAGGGACATAGCGGCTGTAACTTAAACAAATTAGTATTTATATTAGTATTCAGATTGAGGTTAAGTTTCAATCCTCTTTTCATTGAGAAATTGTATAATTAAGCTATAATCTCAGAACTTTCATTATGTCTAGAATTATGTAACCTAAAGACGCATTTGAATATTCTAATGCGTCTTCACCTATAAATTATTTTTCTGTAAATTACGGAAATCCGTAAGTGCGAACTACACGCTGCAGTCTTGTAACTAGCTTTATAACGCGGCTCAACACACACAAACTCAAACACTTACTTATTACTTAGTACTTATTCAGCAGGATATGCATTTAGTATTACGAATCAGCTGATCAGCCCATCAGCAGATAACTGTAGGTATTTACGCGGAATATGAATTCAAGACTAGGATAGAACAATTTGAATCAATCGATCAAATTTATTACACGAACTAGCTGTTGCCCGCGACTTCGTCCGCGTAGATTAATGACTTCTGACAGAATCAATTCAGTGCCCAAGTAAGATTTACCTATTTTGAAATGATTTATCGTAGTTTCAATAAATAAATAATCCCGCAGGGATCTTACCAGTACAGTGCCCGATCACGTAAGGTTTGAGTAATAAAAACTATTCTATCGACTATTGTTGTACCGAATCTCTCTAAAATAAGATCAGTGGTTAAGAGTTAGACAGTCCCGGTTCATTGACGCATAGTTCCCGTTCCCGTGGGACATCTGTGATAGAAACTATCAAACGTTACCCAGGCCCCAAATCATCGTTTTACCGAATGTAATTCAAAAAGATTCAATGATTCTAAATTCAATGGCTAAGAAGATTTATACAAACTCTCATTCCCTATTTTATCCCCTTAGGGGTGGAATTTATCAAAATCCTTTCTAAGGAGATACCTATGTCATAGTAAATTTATGCATGCAAATTCTCAGCCCGCTCAATTTAAAACTGGCAAAGTATCATACTTTGGGGTGAGAATGTTCAAAAACCTTTCTAAAGGGACGTTTACGTCATAATATCCATCTGCACGCCGAATTTCAACCCGATCGATTTAAAACTGACAAAGTCTCATACAAACTTTCATCCCCTATTTTACCCCCTTGGGGGTGGAAATTATCAAAATCCTTTCACAGCGGATTACTACGTCATAACATCTATCTGCATGCCAAATTTTAACCCGATCGGTTTAAAACTGACAAAGTCCCATACAAACTTTCATCCCCTATTTTACCCCCTTGGGGGTGGAAATTATCAAAATCCTTTCACAACGGATGCCTACGTCATAACATCTATCTGCATGCCAAATTTCAACCCGATCGGTTTAAAACTGACAAAGTCTCATACAAACTTTCATCCCCTATTTTACCCCCTTGGGGGTGGAAATTATCAAAATCCTTTCACAGCGGATGCTTACGTCATAACATCTATCTGCATGCCAAATTTAAACCCGATCGGTTTAAAACTGACAAAGTTTCATACAAACTTTCATCCCCTTTTTTATCCCCTTGGGGGTGGAAATTATCAAAATCCTTTCTTAGCGGATGCCTACGTCATAACATCTATCTGTATTCCAAATTTTAGCCCAATCTATCCAGCGGTTTGGGCTGTGCGTTGATAGATCACTATGTCAGTCAGTCAGTCAGTCAATCACCTTTGAATTATATATATATATATATATATATATATATATAGATATAATTTTGAACTGAACATACACGCGTTTAAACTTAAAATCATGCCCGCAAACAGCTGAGCACTTGATTCCTACCTACTTACTTAGCTATGAGTTTTCATTATTCAGAACTTAAAAAACTAACTTTATAATTTATTAGTATTCATCAGACTTGCAATCAAAAGTTAAAAGTAAAGCAACACACAGTGTTATGAATCAGCTGATGACTAACATTGGTACCTGAACATACATGAATTTTTGATGACGTGTCGTACTTTTATTGATTGTTTTGTTCTTTGCTACATTCTGACCTTTGTTTCTGCATTCAAGGATTATTAAAAATGTAATTATCAATTTTTTCTTCAGAAATCATTTAACAATTTTAACAACATTTAAACAATTTTAAATACCAATGTGTGTGTGATGGACGAATGTTTTATGCACACTAATATAAAATTATTTACGCATAGCCGTGTGAACATCACTCACACGGTTAAATATACGTGTGCATGTGTGTATAAGCGTTGCAGCGCAAACGATAGTAGTCATTACGGTGGCACTCGACTTTTGACCTTTGACTGTACATTGGACATCGATGAGCCCTGTCCTTTTTCGGATCAGCTAATTATCAGATATTACTAAGAAATCAGTAACAGGCTGTACAATAACTCAAAAATGCAATAAAAAGGTCATATATGCGATCAAATAGTCGAGAATTTCCTTTAAAAAATTCTTTACTCGACAACGTCAACGACAATGTACGTATGTACCATATCATTTGATTTCATAATGCCTGTACTCCTCTGGAATATGGATTTATTCTCTTGCCGAGTGACAAATACTTACGTTTCATTATAACATAACATCACGCCTTTTATCCCCGAAGGGGTAGGCAGAGGTGCACACAGAAGTGACACCCACTTTTCCCTATTTATGTTATGAGTCCCATGTAATAGGGGGTAAGCCTATTGCCATATACCGGGCACATTTCCGGACTCCGTGCTACTATGGGATTTTTTTTTAAAACCCAGTAATACTTTGCCCGACCCGGGAATCGAACCCGAGACCCCTTGGCCGGTAGTCGCACTTGCGACCTCTCGGTCAACGAGGCAGTCATTATATACCAATATAGTTTTATCTTATGTATCATTGTACCATGTACCATTTAAATCTTATATAGGTACCATTATTATTAATTATAGTATTAGTAAGATTTAAGTGTGGAATATTATTTTTAAGTCATACTAAAATATTTTAGGTAGAAAATATGCAGTAAAAATCACACGATATTGGTACACCCTTAGTTTTGGTGTCATTTCAAGCTTATGTCATAGCTTAAGCTCAAAATCGCACACCTAATAAACACGGCTCCAACCTAGCAATTATCTTGTCATTTTAATATGAACCTTAAATCGTGTGCCATATGATATATTCTATAACGTCAATACAAAAAGCCGACAGCGGGTGGTCAGTACGTGGTCCTCTCGAGTTGTAGTTGAGGTGCTCGCTCGCCGCCAGCGTGCGAGCGGCGTGCGATACAGCGTCGCATCGTATGTATTGTTGACTAGTGCATAGTAAAGTGCGACTAACATAGGGTTAAGTTTATTTACTAACATCAATTGTATATTAAAATATTTATGTTAGTCTGCAAGGTATCTATGGGCCATAGTTGCCTGAAAATAAAGTTTAAAATAAAAAAATATACTCGTGGTGACAAAAAGCTTCCACCACCAGAGTGCTGGCGGCTAGCGGTAGGCAAATTCGAAACAACGCCGTCCCGGAACTGAGCCGGAGCCATACTATGCCGGAGCTGCGCCGGAGCCGTGCTAATTAGACATGCAATGACCTTTATTGTAATTAAGAATAATTGCGTAATTCTTATCATATTTCATCATTTTTCATATTATGTATATATTTACAAATTAATATATTTACGTATAAATTAATAAGGGCATTAAAACAATGAGATCAATGATGTCCAAATATGTATATTAATCCAAAATATGATACGTAGCTACATAAAAAAATACAAATGACTACTATATTATTAAAAAAACAACCACTGAATATTACTGAGTCACAAACTTGGGCAAAGGTGATTACTTATCACACCTTAATTAACTAGGTGTTCATTTTATTGAAAGTCTTTATTAATACGTCCTTATATTTAAACCATGTTGATGATAAGTGTGACTATCAAAGTGAAGAAGCTGAGAGAGACAATATTTGCAGAGTCGGGTTCAGGGGTAGTCGGAGGGTCCGTGGTAGGGTCAGAGATAGGTTCTTCGGTAGTAGTAGGTTCATCGGTAGTAGTAGGTTCATCGGTAGAAGTAGGTTCAGGGATAGTAGTAGGCGGACTGGAAGGTTCAGGAACGGGTAATTCGAACCCTTCTTCAAAATATCCTGTTCTGAAGTATTCTGCGAACTCCGGTAACCTTCTTCTATACCATTGCATGTTAGCTCTTGATGTAGCAATGCCGTTTCTAGCCACAGTAATTGCAGCAGCTGGGGGAGGAGTAGCCGAGGTAAACCAGGTCTCGACCTAAAGCAGTGCAATTCAACGATATTATTACACAGTCTTGAATAAAACTACTAATTAAAAAATAAATATGTAAATTCTAATGATTTATTTAATTGCCCCATTTTCAAGTTCAACTGCAAGATGTCAACATTCAAAACTGTCAGTATGATCAACATTCTCTAGTAACATCTATTTTATAAAAGACAAAATGCATCAGTGTAACTGGTGTTGAATCACTACATAGTATAACACAAAGTCGCTATCCGTCGTCTGTCTGTCCCTTTGTATGCTTAGATCATTAAAACTACGCAACGGATTTAGATGCGATTTTCTTTATTAGATAGAGTGATTCTTAAGGAAGGTTTATATGTATAATACATACATATTGCACCCGTGCGAAGCCGGGGCGAGTCGCTAGTGTATAATATAACTGGCGATGCGTGTAATAATAAAATTTTTGGCGTGGCCCTAAACTATGATTTGCTCCTGTGTTTTGGATCCGTTTATCAACATACAAATTGGCACATACACATCACAGCTAGACCTGAATTAACAATTTATGGATCACAAAAAGATTTTCGGTGTGGGAATCGAACCCGGATCACGTTGCGCAGCAGTCTGTTGCCCAACTACTGCGCTAACCGTTATAATATTGCAGCCACACTTTGTTCGTTGTGGCTATACTTAGTTTAGTTTTACCTCAACGATTTGTGCCTCATTCAATAATCGGTTCGTTGCTGATTGTAAAAGAGATCTGCCATTTCTGTAACAAAAAACAAATTAAATTTAAACCCCGTAAATCTAATAGAGTTTCACCTTTTATATTTATTTTTTTTTCACATCCAATGTTGTTCTATAGAAGTTCCCTTATTTAATTGTAATTCATTCGTAAACTTACATGTTTTCACATTTATAATATCGGTTTAAGCTAATTTCAACCGTCAGTCCTACAGTTATAGTGTAAAGTCTACTGCGGGCAACCTAACATTCGACAAATTTATATTTGTGTTTGGTATAATAACTGCGTCTGGGCTTTAAGCAGCACAATTAATTTTGTTTTTTCGTGTATGTACTTTTTTAGGATAAAAAGTACCCATTGTTATACCCAGGATATTAACGTATAATCATACCAAGTTTCATCGTAATCGGGCTAATAGTTTTTGACTACTAGAATAATAGATAGATAAACAAAATTTTTTTAATCATTTTTGTCTATCTAGTGACACCGCCTACTATTTATTTTTTAAATATTGTACAGAATTTACACTTTTACAGTATTATTGTATGTACATATAGATATAGATACTATAGCAAGGTCTGTGAAAGCTTTTGCCATTTTGAAACGTCAAACCATTATTACCATTAGTAAACATAGCTGTAGGGAAATACAAGCGAGAAACTTCTCCATTACTTTTCATAAATTAAAATTAATACCATATGCTGTTTTAAATTATCTACTTATGTATATAAAACTAATTATATATGTTATGTGTCTAACCAGCTATTTAATATATAATACTTACTCATTATCCAGATGTTGAGGATTATTCTTAAGCCAATTAAATACTCTCATGGTATTGTATTCATTGCTACTGACAGCTGAGCTAATAGCAGCGCTGTAGTCCTGTGGTCTGATATCTTGTGTTACTGATGTGTCAACGATTGTGTTAAGGAGCTTGTGTAAGGCATTTTCATTTCCTGTGCAACCGGCTGCATTGATCATCACAACTTTCTCGTTAGATAGGTCTTCAGCCAAGTAACGTTGCCAGAAATAGTCGAAATCTGCCTCGTTTCCATTACGCAGACCACCGCAATATACCCAAGGGCGCATATTTGGCGGAATTCTGAAAAGTAAAAAATACATCATTGTTATTAACATCTAATCGTAACATTGCATCACGCGCGAAAGGCTGGACCGCCGGTGCTACTAATGAAATTATATCACTTTCAATATAAAATGAAATTATTTTGTCTCTCTACAATGGTCCAATTTCTATGAACAATTTATTATATAATACATATTATGTTGCGTTCATCTGGTTGACTCTGCTATTCTGCTATTTGATTGAATGACTAAGTGAATGACTAATAGCCATGTACTGTAGCTTTCACACATACCGGCGTAATGTGTATACACTGCACCGCCGGGTACCCGGTACCGGCTACCCGGCAACCGGAACGCGTGAAAAGGCACTAAAGAACAACCCATTAAGGCGTTAAATGTTCATCGCTGAATTGACGTCAGTTCAAAAAGTTAATAAATTCATTGAACCTACAACACACACCTATTCAACTTTGTAATGTTTGGTTAGGGCCACAATGTGATCGCAACTAAAAATAATAATAGGTAAGTGAATCCATGCTGTCAATTTAATGTAACTATCACGAGCTGTTTGGCGCCAAATAACTGTTTTGGTGCGACTTCAGTACTAGCGCCGCAGTGGAAAAAAATGAACCAAACAACCGCCTAACAACAGCTAGCTAGTTGGACGTTGAGTGACGTTTACTTAATCAACGTTCACCCTATTCATTTAATTAAATATAGTCATTCAATTAACGCTTTAATCAGATAGCAGATTCAACTAAATGACCACTACACATATATGCATATACGTATTTATGAATATACAGACATAAACTCACTTAAAAAGCGTCAGTTTATTTACTTAAATAATAACAAATGTAATTATGCGATTCTTACCTTGTCCCATTAACTCTCCATGCTTGGAAGCTTTGTGTGGCTGCTTCGGAACATTGCTCGTGTCCAGCATTGCAAAGGAAGGTCATCACATGCATACGAAGCAAGTCATCCATGAAATGACTATTGGCTCCCTCGTTGAAACCGAGACGCTGGACAATCGCCGTGCTCGATTTAAAGATGATGTTCTAAATGCAGAATAAAAGTTAATTACAGGAACTTTATATATTAAACCATATTTGTGAGACCGTTTTAAATCATTGTTTTTTTTATTTAATATCTAAAATAGATTTTACCTTTAAGTTTTCACGCTCAATATCGTCGTGAGCCAATCTCCGAAGCGCAAAGTTAAATCCAGCAATAGCAGCTACCCAAGGAGCGTACTTGTCTTCAAATTCGAGGAAAGAAAGAATGTTCAACGCTCTCGTGTAAGACAAGATGCTAGATCTGGCTAACACGAACACGTCATCCACGATCTGAATAAAAAATACGTTACTTTATAAGATACAAATAAATCTTTGAACAAATTGCTAGTTTTTGGTGATTAATCTTCAGCAAATACACTAATAATTAAAATAATAAAAAATAAAAACCGTAAAACGGAGTTTTTCGTCTCTTAAAAAGATTTTACAATCTCAAAAGTATGAACTTAATTAGCCAATCCTATAAATATACAATTAATATTAACTATTACTAAATGAATATAATATACAACTTAAAATATAAATAACTATGAACTAAAATATTAATTAAATAGGGCCCAAGTGCACATCTTCTTTACAAAGATATTGTAAGGAGGATGGTTGACACTTCAGGTGATCGAAGGGCTAGCTTCTACCTTGGACAAAGGTTAAGCATTACCATTCAACGTGGAAATGATGCCAGTCTTTTGGGCACCCTACCTCACGATAACGATGAGGAATTTTTTTTTGATACCTTATTATAACTTATTTATTATTATTAAAATAATTGAATTAGGATTTCACGTCCCATAATAGTAATTATTTTTATAACATTAGGTATCTCACCTGAGCGCGGTTGTATTCGTGTATGACTTCCCTGTTGTCACTTCTTAAAGCTAGAGTAATGAGCGCCCACGTAGACGGGTCGTAGTTTACTCTGTAGAAACCTGGAATATTTTTTTATTTATTTACAGTCAACATTATTAAAAATATTAATTAGACAATAATTAGTTTTTAACCGACTTCAAAAAAAGGAGGAGGTTCTCAATTCGACCGTATATATGCTTTTATTTATGTTTGTTCCCCGATATCTCCGTTGTTTATAAACCGATTTTAAAAATTCTTTTTTTTAGAAAGGAGATAGTTCCAGAATGGTCCCATGCTAAGGAAATCAGGATCTGATGATGGAAGACCAGGGAAACCGAGGGGAACTTTTAAAAATTATAGGGGTGACTAGGGCATTTGTTAATTTTTTCATTAAGTATTAAAAACCACTACAATCCGATAAAGGTCTGGAGCCCATCTGATGATGGAGCCGAGAGCTAGTTGAGGGAACTCCTCAACGGTTAACAGTAGCTAACTTGTGTTTGGGTTTGATGAATTTGTATTGATGAGGACTTTACACCTGAGTGGGGTGTAATTGTCAATAAGGGTCTGATGATGAAGTAGTACGATAGTTGAGGGAACTCCTCAACGGTTAACAGTAGCTACCTTGTGTTTGGGTTTGATTAATTTGTATTGATGAGGACTTTACACCTGAGTGGGGTGTAATTGTCAATAAGGGTCTGATGATGAAGTAGTCCAATAGTTGAGGGAACTCCTTAACGGTTAACAGTAGCTAATTTGTGTTTGGGTTTGATTAATTTGTATTGATGAGGACTTTACACCTAGATGGGGGGGGGGGGGGTGATGGTCATTAAAGGTCCAATGACGAAGTAGTATGATAGCTAAGGGACTCCTCAATGGTTAAGAGTACCCACCCGGTGTTTGAACTTGCATAATTTGTATTGATGAAAACTTTGCATCCATGTGGGTTTTGTATAATATAATATATCAAAGTACTAAACTAAAAAGTATAAAATAAAATTAAAAAACTGCGTTTAAAAAAACCGACTTCAAAAACAAATGACAAACAAAAAGTAAAAACTAAAAAGGAAAAAAAACTATTAGTGGTCATACGTACTTATAGCTTACACACCCACTGATAGGTTAGAAGTCGGTGCCACAAACCCACAATAAAATATAAAGTAGACAAAAGTCACAGCTGGTATAATCCATAATAAAATTGTAAACAGCTCAATAATGTTAGGTACCTATTAAGGTTTTAATGAATAATTTTGTTTAAAACTTGTGGCACCGACTTTTAACCTATCAGTGGGTGTGTAAGCTATAAGTACGTATGACCACTAATCGTTTTTTTTTCCTTTTTAGTTTTTACTTTTTGTTTGTCATTTGTTTTTGAAGTCGGTTTTTTTTTCATTATAAGCAATAGTTTCCTAAAACATCATACCAGATTGTTGTTTGTTGAAAATAACCCATTCTCTTCCGGTACTTCCTCGGTCGATAATTTTTAGTGGGCCGCTCATGAACTCAGAAGGCTTAAGGTTATTAAAATCGGGACTTTTAGCCCTAGTCCAAGTTAAAGGAATGTCCCATAAACCATTACTCGAAGACACACCATTGTTAACATCAAATTGAGTCTAAAAGGTTAAAAAATTAAAAACATTTGTAGAAATTATTTACATTATTTACAGAGCAAAGGGAGCGATATTTAAACTTTTGTAATTTGTTACTTACTTGTACAACAGTCATACGGCCGCTAGCATGATCTACATTAACTGTTAATAGAGGATGCCCTGCTTTATCGGACCACGATTTAAAGTACCGAGCAATTGTCATGCCATCGTAAGCATCCAGAGCATTGCCAGCCTCAGCTTCTAAATTTCTAAATAAATCCTCTGGAATGGCGGTTTTAAGAGCTCTGAAAGTTAATTTAAAATATAAATACCAGATTTGATTCTGTTCTGTTCAATTAAAGTTTCAATATGGAATGAAATGTGATCGTACCTATCCTTTAAATAAGCCTGAAGACCCTTCTGATAAATATCTTCACCAAGTAGATGTTGTGTCATTCTAAGTATGGAGGCACCTTTAGCATAAGTAATGGTTGAAAAGTGATCTCTCACTGAATCTGGATCTGACACGTCGGGGTTAGTAAGGGCGTGAGCTGATGCGGAGGAGTCGGACAGCATGGCGACTTGCAACTGTTCTACTATAAAACGTGTGTCATAACCCATCTCTGGTTCAGCCTAATAGCAAAAAGGAAACAAGTAAATCTTTTATAACGAAAACTAGAGATTAAACTTGTAGACATGGGATAAACCATTGACGAGTTGTTTGGTCGGCCTTAAGATAACGTACAAAACTTGTGTTTTCAGAATTGGAGCCATACTTTTTTACCATAGGTATAATTTGTATCTAATATCCAACTATAATCCTACCCTATATTAAAAATATTTCCTAGTATAACTGACAAATCATTATAAATCATAAAATTATTCCTCAGTCACTTGTAAGAATCATTGTACTCGTATCTTTGAAATCCATTTGGGAATATTTTTTAACGAATCCCGATTAATATTTATTAATGCAATAATAACATCTGCTGACAATCATGAAATAACATATCTACTATAAAAACTATATAAGATATCGTAATTCACGAGGTCAATAAGTTTATCCCGGTACATACTCAATTTACTAGCTTTCTGAATTAGAAATATTGAATGTATTACCTTGTGCGTCAAGTAGTACTGGTAGAACCTAGCGAAACCTTCGTTTAACCAAAGTGTGTCCCACCAATCGCATGTGACGAGGTTACCGAACCACATGTGTGCAATTTCATGAGAAATAATGTTTGCTATGCGTTGTTTGTACCAATTGTTGCTGTTTGCAGGATCGTACAGAATAAGAGCTTCTCTGTAAGAAAAAAAAAATGTTAGGATACCTCAAATAACACAGTTTTTAGAAAAAAAAAAACTAAAGTTATTATAAGTGAAAATATGTGACCTTTAATAAGGTTAGGTTTCCTAGATCTCTAAAAAATGTAACGTCTTTTTAATTTTGTAAACGTGACCTCATCGCCTAACTAAGTCAAGTCAATCTTTGGGTAATGCACAGATACTATGACAATTAAAATTCTGAGAATTAATTGCCTGATAGTCCTAGTAGGCCTTATTATTAATAAGAATAAAGTGGCACCACACTAAAATTGTCTCATATTATGTCGAAAGTTCTGGTAAATATAATTATCTATTTAAATACCTGTAGGTTAATAGGCCCCAGTTTTCCATAGCACCAGCGCTAAAGTCAGGGATAGCAGCTTGCTTCATTTCCATATTATCAGCCATTGTGTAATAAGGGTAGGCAGTGTACGTTTCCATTAAAGTCAGAAGCTTTTCACCAATTTCCAGAGAATATTTGCCTGTATCTCCAATGTTATTTCGAGCAAAGATACGGAATGGTCTTTCACTATTTGTTCCAGTTTCCACTGGTATGTAATTGGATACTATGAATGCCAGCAAGTATGTGGACATGATAGGCGTAGTATAGAACGTTTCTGTTATTTTCCCGTCATTATTAGAACTGTATAAAAAAAATATTGAAAGTAAATAAGTCTTATTATAATTATGAAAATATTGTTTATGCTCATAAGAGCTTATAATGCAAAGTATGGTATACTACTAGGTACCATACCTTTTACCAAAATAACCCTGTTGTTATGTACAGGTCCAATTCCGCAATCTGTGTTACTATTAATAAAACACCAATAATACTTTGCCTAACCCGGGATCGAACCCGAAAGTCTTCGGCAGAAGCACTTGCGGCCACTCGACCAATTAGACAGTCGAGAATACGTAATCTCAGTGTAGGTAATTTATGGACTCGTGACTTTTTCTTCTCCTCTATTAATAATTAATATCTTCTGAAATTTCGTTGCAGGACCCAAGAAAATTAATCATGTTCATGAGACCCTCCAGACTTCAGTATTCCGGTGATTTCCTGGTTTAATCTACTGTAGATACTGACTTACATGTGTTGCAGCAGTGTTAGGAGGTGGTAGCGGGCTTGTCTCAAAAAAAAATTAGTGACTAGACTAAAAATAATGATTATAAGATCTTACGTAAGATCACTATTTATGGGCATGTTTGATAACGAAGGCTGGGTATTTTCAGCGTTTCTAACCAGTGTTATATCGAATGTAGCTTTGAAACTAGGTTCATCGTAGCAAGGGAACGCTCGACGAGCATGACCAGGCTGAAACTGTGTCGTAGCCATCCATCTGGAAAGAAAATATACATAATTATTATGTGTCAGGTTAAAAAAAAGAATTGAATATTCTTTTTTTGTGTTTATTATACTACGCAGAGGTAGGTTCTGTAAAATATTTATCCTCTCTTACCACGAAATCGAAATCATATGCATTGTTTTCAATTATACGTGCTTCCACTCACTTTTCTATAAACTTTATGTCTGTTTTCTTCACGACAATTTTATGACATTTCATGGTATTTTTTTTTTTTTTTTAAGGGGGGAAAATCATCGAATGACTGCTTCCGCCTGGGTGAGGCGGAAGGGAGTGTCAGACTCTTACTGACTAAAAACCACCCCGTTCCTTCTCCTGCACGTCGAGCCGGAGCCCCGGTTACCCGTTAGGTTCTCCGCGACTCCGAATCGGCATCGGCCCTATTGGGCCCCATCTGTGGTGGTCTGATGGCTCTTTGAGGCGCGCGCGGAACGCGACGCGCCGTACGCTCGGGTCTGTTTCTGGTCGGACGGGGAGCCACCCATGCTCGCCGTCCGCAGGCTCGCGCTTACGGTGGCCGGAGATCGTCCAGCGATCCCCGACGCCCAGTGTGTCCTTCGCGATGGCTGGGTTGCGAGGAGGCAGCGCTTCGCTGCCTCACGCGTCCCGCCTCCTCCTTAGCTAGCATGACTGCTTCGCAAAAGGAGGAGACGGCATCCCAGTCCCCCTCGCTCCACATCATGGCCTGCACTAGGCCCGGACGCGAGAGGTCGCCATCGCCGATCACTTCCCTGAGGGCACGGCGGTGCTCAGCCCACGCAGGGCATTCTCCCACTGTGTGTTCCACCGTGTCCTCAGGGCGGTCCTCGCAGTGATGACACCCGGGCGTTTCCTCCCGCCCCATCAGACACAGGTACCTCCCGAAACTTCCATGTCCGGTGAGGACCTGCGTCAGGCGGTAGGTGAGGACGCCGTAGCGTCTCTCAAGCCACTCCTCAAAGAGGGGACTTACCGCTGCAATGGCAGCGAGCCCAGCCCTCGGTTGCGACAGTCGTTGCTGCCATTCCGCCATGAGATCGCGCCGGAGCTCATCCCGCCACGCACTTATCTGGCGCGGCAGCGGAGTTTCGCCCCGGCGACGTGCCTCCGCGCGCATGTTATACACGCGCGCGAGCACCTTCGCCTCCAGATCCCACGGCGGTAATCCGGCAAGGAGGTTCGCCGACTCCCCAGAGATCGTGCGGTATCCGCGGATCATTCGGATCGCCATGACCCTCTGTGACACATTTCATGGTATAAAAATCAGTCGTATGTCAACTTTGTAAATAATAGTTTTAGTGTATCTTAAGTAATAGTTAGCATTTATATTATTTAAGTTTATATTATTTGTCAATATAAGTTCCTCGTAGTATGAGAAAAACCGTAAGTGCGGTTTTGGACCCCTTGCTAATGTCGAACGTCATACGCACGCTATTTCAATAATCAAACTCAGTGTAAAAGTAACTAAAATCAAGGGTTACTCACGTGAATATACTGAGAAAAGCACTACTAGTTTCGAACCACTGAGGGGTTCTTCCTCATGAGCAGCGTGCGCGGCGACGTCGCGCAGCTCACTGGCTGGCGTTGGAAACTAGTAGAGCTTTTCTCAATATATTTACGTGAGTAACCCGCGATTTTAGTTAATTTCATATATCTCAGTCTAAAATATTTGAATCGACCTAAAATTTTGACATCGACGAATTAAGATCGGTTATTGATATTGGCAGTTATTCGATGGACGATTGCACGCATCTTACGTAGAAAAAAGCAAAATTGTGTCCGGTGTGGCAACGTTCCGTCACTTACTCTTCATACATCCATCTATCGTTATTTGTAAGCTAAATACTTCAAATGACACGCCATAGTCAATACCTTTCGGGTTAAACTCACATTAACCTACCGTAATTACAAATCATAAATCAGTATCTTACCTCCTGTCCCCAGTGTTATCGATGTACCAACTTCTGTAGAAACCTCTCATATCTGTTTGTAGTGTTCCAGTAAATGACATCTTGACGATGTAATCAGTGTTAGGATTTAGATTGGATGTTGAAATCTTTAAAAAGTCAGTGTTTGCTTCGCATGTGAACGACTGTGACGGCTGAACAAGGTTTGTAACGGGTTGGGTAGTTGTATCTAAGGTAACGGACACACTGCTTGGTGTAATAGTCAATCCTCTGCAATGAAGTTGGATTTCGTTGACTGCAACTGCTCCAACTTTAATTTTTATTTCGACATCACCCAAATACTCAAAATTTTGCAAATTTGTATCCAGTTTGACTTTGTAATTAATTGGTTTCGTGGTTGTTGGTAACCGGTAATTGGGGTCGCTCAACAGGTTCATGTATTCGATCCATTCGGCATCCGTCACATCGATGGGGCCAAACGCCAGTACAGACTGGAGTAAAATTACCCCCAATATGAGGTTAAACCAGCGACTTGCCTAAAAAACAAACAATGTATGTAAAACGTTCCTGATTTTTTTTATAACGTTGCCCCACTCTAGGATTTTCTCCTATACACACTCCTCCTATGACACCCAGACTGGGAACAACAACCTGTGGATCACACAAAGAGGTGTTCCGTGCGGGAATCGAACCCGCGACACGTTGCACGGCAGCCAGTTGCCCAACTACCGCGCCCACCATGTAGTCTATTATATATCCGTAGATTGATACGAGGTTATAAATACTACGTATTACATATTAAGCGTGGGAGAGCCATTCCTGGTATTATATACCCATAAAAAAAATACGGCCTCGTTGGCCGAGTGGTCGCAAGTGCGACTGCCGGAATGGGTTTCCAAAAAAAATCTCAGTAGGTAGTAGCACGGAGTTTGAATTGTGACCGGTATATGGCAATAGGGTCACCCCCTATTACAAGGGACTAATAACATAAATAGTGAAAAGTGGGTGTTACTTTTGTGTGCACCTCTGTCTGCTCCTTCGGGGATATAAGGCGTGATGTTATGTTATGTTAAAAATAAATCAAATTCCCATGCAAAAAAAATCCTGAGATTAACCCATTCATCCAAACAAACCGCTTTATAATGTTATTAATTAAAATTAGTAAACTTGTAGTCGCATAGAAATAATAATAATAATTAAAAATTAACTTAGAAATAAAATGACTGAATAAGTAAACTGAAGGTTAGTTTATCACTTAAAGCAATAACATTCGACCTATTATATTTTGATAACAGATTATTTATTTTATTTCGGTATGACGTGTTAATCCGACAAAGGGGTAGATTAAATGAAACATAAATCTAATTGCACAATGCACAGGTAATAGTAATAATATGGGGCCGGAAAAAAGACACTGTATTTAAGGGTAAACAGGTATTTTATAAGTCTGAGACTGAGAGTTAATATTAGATAACAATTTGTACAATTTGACAATATTATTGCCACTAAGCATAATTTCCGGCGTCTCTTTTTTTCCTGCAGCGCACACGCATTTTTTGACTTTGGTACATTGTGGCTGGTACTAAATAAATTATTTTTCTTTCTCTTATTTCTTATCTATCTAAAAAGCGCTAAGTAAATACCTAACTAGCATGAGTGGCGCTTGCGTTATTCAAAATTTGATATTTTGGTGATACAATGGTACTCACTACTCAGATTGCGATATCTGTTACCCTGAAGCGATAATATCACATGGCGATAAGTGTAAGCTCTTGCTGCCTATCAAATCGTTTTACTAAAGATATAACAGGCAAACCTGTATCACAGCACTATATACATGCCAAATGAATGCTTAATTCCCTACATTGCCATCTAACAAACACTTGTATTCACATCTAACATTTTTCTAGTCAAAAATAATCGAAAAACTCTGTATAAAATATACTTAAATTCAACATTGTTAGGCAAGTTTCATGTATAGTTCCAAACTTGGCCGAAAACGCGTAACTGACGTTCATTTAACTTACTATTGAACTTTATTCTACTGCTACAAACTAAATTTACTCAGTATTAAATTTAACTAGTGACTAGTAGCTTATGTTCCTACCCCCTCTCACCACAATGTAATGAATACAAGTTATATCATTCACTATAACTGACGTCATCGTTATGGTATTGTATTCAGATTATTAAGTTACATAAATATGTATATATCTTGCTACGTCAAACAGTCTTATATAATATATCGCACTCACTATTGCCTGAAAGTGAAAAAGTGTTATATAACCAATCTAACCTTCAAACTGAGTTAAGTGGGGAACATTTTGCTAGCGCGCCCTACCAGAGGTACAAGTCTAACATCTCATGTAACATCAGCAGTAATTAATTAGTTTAATTACAAAAATCTTTCGTAACAATTTCAAAATCTAAAATATCTAGAAAAAACACTTTAATCTCAATCATTGATAGATCGTCGTGAATGGAAATCCGACCTTATTCTTTCAACAAAACTGTATTAAGCTGTTTTATCTCTGAATAATTGTGCACATTTCAATGACGCAACACTTAAAAAGCTTTAAATTCATGGCAACACTTTAATAATGTAAAAGAATAACTTCAAAGTACTTTTATAAAGAAATTTATATTGAATATTTTGTAAGTAATTATAAAAAATCATCAAAAGCTACATACCATTTTGACGCTGGTTCGAAAACGAATAACAAAGCAGTATAATTTATCTATATCGATACCCTCCGGTATTTATATCTTATCCGAATTACAACTTATTAAACCAACGATAAATATTATCTAGATAGCAGGTCGCTATTAATTTATTTTCAAAAAGGTAAACGTGCAACCAAAAACCAAAAATTGTAAGGAAATATGATTTAGATTTTTATTTAGATATATAATTAACTAGCTTTTGGCCGCGACATCATTCTACTTTAGAACAAACAATATTTAGAATGATGTTTATAACAATTAAATGTCTGATTTATTATTTAAAATGGCCAGAAGACTTATCGGTAGTATTTTAATACACGAATATTATTTCAATTTTCGTATATCTACTAATATTTTTTCAATTCTTTGTAAATTCCCTAGAAATGTAAAAATTATTTATTTATATCTGTTTAAACTGTCCAACACCAAGCGGTCACCGGTGACCGCGACCTATTGTTCTTTAATTGTGTCTATAAAACCGGTACTCGACGAGTTAATTCTATACTTTATATGTAGAGGTATGTATTATTCATCTCTAGTGGTTTCATCCAAACCCGACCCTATTAGCCAAACCGGTACTTTAAGATTTCCAGACAAACGGTATTCCATTCAATGTATATAATAATGTAGATTGTACCTATATAAATGCAATTTAATGATCCATTTCCTTTATGTATTTTATTATAATACTAGTTTCTACCTGCGACTTCACCCACCGAAACGTAGACCTGCACCTGCACTGAATTCAAAATAAGAATTTTGAGTTGTACACAGAATGTTAAGCAGAAAAAAGAGAAATATGCATCTGTGAAAACCGCATACGAATCGGATGAGTAGTTTCATGTGATGCGCGTGTAAACATAAAGACAGACACACAGAAAAAAATATACTCACATTCTTGGGCTCTACATCGATCTACCTACATTTATATATATAAAAAAATACTTTCCGTTCCTTAGTAAAACTCGAGAACAATTGAACCGACCTGGCTAATTTCGGTCTTGAAATTTTCGTGGAAGTCCAGGGAAGGTGAGAAAATATATTTTATACGTTACGGAGTCAGCTAGTTATTATTAAATATCTTAAATAGCTTTAATGTACAAAAATTACGTAGTTTTATTATTATATGTATAGATGTAGATATATTTTCAGTAATCGTGTATGAATCAAGTAATTATCAAGGGCAAGTTGTTATCCTCGTAATTACAAGATATAGAATGTATTCTAATATAACGACTAAACGAACGAACTATGACTATAATTGTTTGAGGTGATATTATTTACAGAGTATCAATTTTAATTAACTTCAGGCGATCTCATAGCCGCGACACGATCTCCGACCACCGTAAGCACGGGCCTGCACACGGCGAGCATGGTGACTCGCCGCTCGATCAAATCCAGACCAGAGCGTACGGCGTGTGGTGTTCCGCGCGCCTTAAAGACTCATAAGACCACCAGACTCAATAGGACTAATGCCGATAGGGAGCCGCTGAGGACTTAACGGGTTGCTGGGGTTCCGGCTCGAAGTGCAGGAGTAGGAACGGGCTGATTTTTAGTCAGTAAAGGGTCTAATACTCCCTCTCGTCATCGAGAGAAGCCATTGTATCTTAATTTACTGTTTAATTTCTATGCTATTTTATTTTCTTTATCTTCTTGGAACCCCTGATTGGGTAAAGGCCTCCTCTAGTTTGGTCTAGCTATCTCTGTCTTGAGCTGTTTTTATCCACTCCTGCTGTAGCTACTATGTCATGACTCCATCGTTTTATAGGTCGTCCTTTTCGTCCACTTCCACCAGGGCCTTTCCATCTTATCGCTTCTGCTATCCAGCAATTGTCGCTGTAGCGTGCAACATGACCAGCCCATTGTCATTTTAAACCAAGACTGTAATGTATGTATGTACATAGAACGTCGATGAGCCCTGTCCTTTTTCGGATTGAGTCGTTTCTCAGTTTTTTAAAAGTTCTTTCATAAAGGGAAAATCATCAAATGTCCTCCCGCCTTAGGTGAGGCGTGACGGGGTGTCTCCTACTGACTAAAAACAACCAGAAATACGTCTTTGTCAAACGCGCACTAAACTAGTTACGTCTTTCAGTACCTAATGAAGATTTTTTTAACAGGAAATGATTTATTATTGCCGTTCAACATGTCATCGTCTTTTTGACACCCTATCTCACGACGACGATGAGGATAATTTAGTCGATGCCTTAATTTAGTAATTTTTATGGCAATTTTAACGGTTAAATATTTTAGATTTTAGTTCTATTTTAATCATATTTTTATTTCACATTAAGTATAACTTTCGTGAGACATACTACATTAATTATTATATTTTTCGGCTTACTCACGTAATTATTTGACGAGGAACTCGACTGGGTGTCAGCGCGAGAGTCGCTGCGTCGCGGGTCGCGGAATGCTGCTCATGTATATGAGCCTATTGCCATATACCGGACATATATCCAGACTCCGATCTACTACTGAGATTTTTAAAACCCAATAATACTTTGCTCGACCCGGGAATCGATCTCGAGACCCCGGCCTTGGCCAATGAAGCAATCTCTTTTTAAGTAGCGTAGTTATTAAAATACCTGTAATACGTATATTTTGATATAATATTTTGTTGAATGAAGAAATTGAGTAATAAAATTATTACAAAACCCATGTAAACCATGTAAACATGGGAAGGTCCCGAGCGTACGGCGCGTCGCGTTCCGCGCGCGCCTCAAAGAGCCATCAGACCACCACAGATGGGGCCCAATAGGGCCGATGCCGATTCGGAGTCGCGGAGAACCTAACGGGTAACCGGGGCTCCGGCTCGACGTGCAGGAGAAGGAACGGGGTGGTTTTTAGTCAGTAAGAGTCTGACACTCCCTCCCGCCTCACCCAGGCGGGGGCAGTCATTCGATGATTTTCCCCGCTTAAAAAAAAAAAAAAAAAAAAAAAACATCGGAAGGTAACAGGTTCAGCCTCAGTATTTTAACTTCAATTTTGGTAAATAGACAATCCCAATAATATTTTACTAAACAATCAAATAGAAAAATCCTGGTTTAGCAGTGTATTTGGGACCAGTCAAATGAGGCTGCCAAAACTGAAGAAAAGTAGAGTATTATAATCTGTTTATATTATTATACTAGCAAACCCGGCGAACTCCGTTTCGCCACCAGATCGCTTCGTTTTATGTAACATTTCGTTTGGTGATTAAATGATGAAGAAAGGTTTTTTTCCTGAATTTTCTTTGCTATAACCCTCACGGAGCCCGAGACCTTTCCTTTCTATTATCTAGCAAACCCGGCGAACTCCGTTTCGCCACCAGGTGGCTTCATTTAATGTAACATTCTTTGCTATAAACCTCGCGGAGCCCGAGACCTTTCCGACAAATGCAAAACCGTAGAAATCGGTTCGTGCGTTCTGGAGGTACAGCGTCAGGAAGGAAAACCCGACTTATTTTTATATAGTAGATTAAGTAAATTCTTAGCATTATTACAAATTGCGATTTTAGGTGAGTTTTTATGTCTAGAACTCTGGAGACAGTTGCGAGCTGTGTTACAATTTTCTTTGCAGGTGTCACCGCGGTCAACAGCTAGGTAGGCACCCCGGTAAGTGTTTGAGGAAGTTACTCTAACAGTTCCTGTTTAGTGCATGCTAAATGATACAATGTAGCTGATCAAATATTTTAATAATAACTACTGTAACATCTACACTTGACATTCGCAATAAACGATTTGAATTTGAATTTCTTTTAAAAGAAATAATCTTTCTTTTAATCACCAATGACAACAATGAATACCAATTTGCATGTAGCACTGCATCTTTATTGACTCAGAGTTAATGAAATTACAATACCTAGATACATTTGTCCGTACATAAAACCTTTGTTTTAATACCTGGGCCACATGTTTTAACATATTTCTTATGGAAAATAGGTCTCATTTTATTCGCCAGTTTGATCAACAAAAATTTATTTAGTGAGTTGGAAGGCATAATGAGAGTCTGTTGGTACAGTGAAATAAAATTCACGCAATTTTTTTTTTTAGTTAATTATTTGATTATTTATTTGTTTATGTATTTATTTATTTATTTATGCACAACACACTGGCAATACTCAGGAGAATATATACCTCTATATAAATAGACTTGAGGTACATAGGTAGGTACTACCTATTATTCCCGTAGGAATCTTTTCCTTCCTTTCTTCCTAGTTATTTCTTTTTACTTCTTGTGCACCTGTGAGGATACTTTCATAAAATTTTTTGTTATTTAAATTTAAATATAAATTATTGTTATTTTATATAACATGTAAGTTTATATAGGGATTTATTTTATGTAAGTCTATACTATCCTTTTTTATGTATTTCTTTTTAATCCTAAATACGCTTGCTTCTTGCATGGACCATTGTTTTTGTCTCTGCATCACCCAAAGAGAATGCCCTAGGCATTAAGCCCACCTTGTACATAAATGGTTGCATGAAATCTTTTAAAATAAAAAATAAAAAAAAATATTATTTTATAAAATTAAATTTTTAAAATCTTACAAAATTGCGAAAATTATCTTACTGTGTGAATTCAGATTCTCGAATATTTTTTTTGGAAAAATGGCGAGCACAGAGATCACATAAGATGGCAATCGGCCCGCTGTCCATGGTCACACCTCAGAGTTACAAGTGCATATCTGGTCTTTGAATGGGTTAGTCTCACACCCCAGCAACTTTCGTCAAGCCGGCCTCCTCATTTACAGAAACATAGTGCAATCAAATAAATTCTAACATGGTTCAGAAAACATATGTGATACCTTAGATACTGCAAATATGTTAGTCTGAATCATTAGGCGTATTATAAGCCTTGTTGCTACCGATAGTGGTTAATTCTCTACTGTACGGTTGGTGCGGTGGTTGGGCAACCGGCTGCCATGCAACGTGTCGCGGGTTCGATTCCCGCACAACACTTTGTGTGATCCACAAATTGTTGTTTCGGGTCTGGATGTCATTATGTGTGAACTTGTATGTTTGTAAATGCACCCACGACACAGGAGAAAATCCTAATGTGGGGCAATGCTTTTATAAAAAAATTTATAATAGTCAGTACTTTATAAAACAACGTCACCCACAGTTAACCCCCGATTATTTTTCATTTTAGGTAAGTAATCACTATAATTACCTTCGGTTCTTTATCATCAGATTAATTTGATAAATATCTGATTCACAATATGTTACAAATAACATATCTTGCATAAAAAGATAGCGTCACGTTTTATAGATTCTTTCCTTCCAGATACGGATGTAACTGTTTACCTTAAGATCCTAGTCTTAAAAGAAACCACGAATTATTTCGTAGTGTGTTCCCATCCTGGTATGGGAAGATCAATCTAAAGTGGTCTGTAATTAATGATTTAATTACTAAGTAATATTTAAAGACTGCCTCGTTGGCCGAGTCGTCGCAAGTGCGACTGCCGGGCAAGGGGTCTCGTTTTCGATTCCCGGGTCGGGCAAAGTATTACTGGGTTTTTACAAAATTCTCAGTAGTAGCACGGAGTCTGGAATTGTGCCCGGTATATAGCAATAGGCTCACCCCCTATTACATGAGACTCATAACATAAATTGTGAAAAGTGGGTGTTACATTATAATTTGGTTAGAGAGCGCTGACTTAATTAAATAAGTCATCTTGTTGTCATGATATCGTATCATGACCATAATCTAAGGTAAAAGGTGTATATACCGTAGACCTAATACATGATAATAATCATAAACATAAGTAGCAAAAAGTGGCACCAGTAAAGAGAAGATTACAAGTAAACAAGATGTACAATATCGGACCAAGAACCGGTCCCTGTGGTACCCTTATACAAAGAGGATCGTGAGTACTTCAGCTTTAAACATTTCTATAAGTAGGGAGTTTTTAGAATAGCTTAAGACAAAAAAAATTCTCTTTATTTTTTGAATACTAATTAAAAGTTAAAGCGTATTTAATACTATTAGATTCCGGGGAGTCTATCGATAATTCCGTAGTAAATCAAACTTTACCTTCATCATTCATAAAGTTTGATACTTGCTGCAAAATACATGTTTTGTATCAAAAAATGTAATTAATTTCAACATTTTCATTGATTTGCTATTGCGTGAAATATGATTATAAAATTGTTTGATTACTTTTGCTATCTTTACCTCTATATCCAAAATTTATCGTATCGCCGTTTTTAGAATATCTCAATTCATATCTATAATATTTGCAATAATTTTAATGTAATTTTAAGAATTACTTTTATGCATTGATAGTAGGCATGTTACTTTCTTCAAAGGCTACTGTTATTCATTTTTGTTCAAAACATTCAGTAAATCTAATTTATTTTTTCAATGTTTTTCATCGTCTGCCTAATAATGTTTCCTCTGACTCCCATGTGGATTCTTCCACACCTAACCTGTCCACTCTAGAAGAGTTATTTATGGGCATACAAGTATTTTTGTATAGTTGAATTTATATACCGTTGAGGATCATCATCATTATCAACAGCTAAAAGACGTCCACTGCTGGACAAAGGCCATCCCCTTTAGTCCTCCACGTTAAATGACGTGGACAGTGAGACAGTGGAGCCAGTGCTTCCCGCAACTCTTGGGATGTCGTCAGTCTACGTCCGAGTGTCTACCGAATGAGGGTTTAAAAACAAACACGTGTTTATAAAAATAGTTTTAATAATTTATATTTGTTTATTTATGTACAAATCGGACGAAAAATTGGGCTATAAACGCGCACACGTGCATTGGCACAGTAAGTACTTAACCAGCTAAATCCATATTTATCAAATGAATTAAAAAAATAAATTTCTGACATTCTTAGACAAATATGAATTTAATATATACATGAAACGTCTCACTATAAAAATACGTAAAAAAATCCTGTAACTTCTTCGCTTACCGACTAATGTTTGGGATTCGAAAAGAATTCCCTCGATTTCTAAAGTTTTTGAAATGGTGACTTATAGAATAAGGTGAGCTATACCCGCTAAAGTTAAAAGGAAGACGGATACGACGCCTGTAACAGCAGAGTCGGGAAGATCTGGAGTAGTCGGCTGTTCTAAAGATGGTGCGGTCACCGTCGATGTGGGCGGCAAAGTACTCGGAAGGATGGTGCTGGTCGAAATGGGATCATTTCCGCTTGGACTAAAGTAGTCATCCAAAGCATTAGTGATACTATCGACTAAATCAAAACTTTTGAGAGTCTCCTCCGCTTCATTGAGTATCGCGTTGGCGTGTGGTAAATCGGTAATGCTCTCCACCCATTTCTTGAACTGTAAAAACAATAAGAATTATGTAGTATGTTGTCAATATTTATGGATTTAACTTTGGTTTGCTCAGATAGCACACTGGATTCTAAGCAAAATTGGATTATAAGCCTCGGCACGAGAATGCGAAAAAATATTTCATTGAGAATTTAATTTCAAGGTTGTAAGTCGCATCAGTTTTTAACCGTGTAAGTTTATGAAACAACAAAATAACTTGTACAATCGGCCGCAAATCCATAGTGCGGGCTAAGCCAATTACACTAATTTTCCAATTGGCAATTACACTTAGTTGTTACACATGCAAATAAAGTCAATAACCCAATGGATTGGTATATTTATAGGTCGGGCAAAGTATAACTAGGTTTTTCGAAAATTCTTAGTAGTAGCACGGAGTCTGAAATTGTGGCATAGCAATAGGCTCGCCCTCTATTTCATGCGACTCATAATATAGTGAAAAGTGGGTGTTATATTGTACAGTAGCATTAAGAGCCGTAATGTGCACCTCTGCCCCTGGGGAGGATGGTGGGGATAAAAGGCGTGATATCGTGTTATGTGTAGATTTGTATAACATAAATAATTGATTATCTTACGTCTTCGACTTCATCTGCATTCCTCAATCTGGCGCTGATGTACATTAATGGGGATCTCAAGTCGTCTCTGTATCTGGAAAAAAAATGGCCTCATCTTATACTTACTATTATATAAAGCGGAAGAGTTTGTTTTTTTGTTTGTTTGAACGCGCTAATTTCCGTAACTACAGGTCTGATTTGAATAATTATTTTTGTGTTGGATAGCGCATTTATAGAGGATGGCTATAGGCTATAAAACATCACGGTACGACCAATAGGAGCTGAGCAGAGCGCGTGAAACCGCGCGGAAGTAGCTAGTTAGTTATATACTTGACCATGAATTATAATATGTATATTGAAATAACAATAAACGGTGTTGGTGAAATGAATTAAAAATTCATATCTTTAGCTTTCTAATACTAACCAATCCGGTCTCGCCACGCCAAAGATAGATTTAAAAAAGAGGGTTCACAATTATAATTTCAGACTTCGATCCAAAACAAAAATTTATATAATTCCATAAATAGTTCCATGAGGGAATCGAATTCACAACACGTTACATAGTAATTAATTAGCATAGCATTAAAAATTAAATTACATAAATAATGATTACTACAGAAATATTCATCCTTCCACGATGTTATAATTTCATATTAAAAGTATAATTTAATATACCTACACATTGTATAAAGAACAATAGTGTGAGGGGCCTCGCTCATGCGCTCATGAAGCAATTAAACCTTAGGTAACTATTAGAGAGTTGATAGCTACTGTAACTAGGAATAGGTAGTACCTTTGTACTTTAATTTTATGTATTTGTTGTCCTTTATGTTGTATGTGTGTACATAAATAAATAAATAAATAATAAATAAGTTTTACGATTGCTGATTTGACAAGATTACAAAATCTATTTCACATTATTAGTAAATACGACACCCATAAAAATTTGTTATTTTCAAATCTGATAAGAATCGACTGCAACAAATACAAGATACTTCGATACGTCTGATCTCATGATAAGCTTTAGCATCAATCGACTTGAAGCAATTAAGCATTTATGAACATGCAAACTAAATATGTATGCAACATTTTAGTTTAGGTTGAAGATATATGCTTCAAAATTCAGTGGCAAGACACACACATACATTCATTCATAAGTACATACATTGCAACGTAAATATAAGTTGGGAAAATTCAAATTAGACGATAATAATTTGATTAACCTATAAAAACACCTTCCATTCAAGATGACCCCCAACTGGCTTGTGACGTCATATCCTTAACAACAAGTAAACTAATATTCAGTGTTCTAATCGATAAAAATCATTCTGCGATTTAAGTGAAGTATTAATTGGCTTCTGTATTAATAACGACTTTAAAGTGTCTACTGTATAAAGATAAGCATCAAATATGCTTAGGATAGTTAATATAAGGGGAAGTCCCGTAACGCCGGACGGCACCGAATTGCTCGCGTTATTAGTTATCGAGATTATACAAGTGTCCATATTTTTTGGCTTAAAAAAATGACATATTTTATAATGTGAAATATAGTATACAGGTTGTGAACATCTTTTATATCAAAGCTAGTTAATCGCACACACAGCGATGAGCGTTCAGTGTGTTCGCACGTTGCATGAGGAAACCAGCAACTTACAATTGATACAATATTTAACAGTTGATCCTACTGGCGGCAATCAGGAAATAACCTAATTATCGATTACAGCAACTAAAAATTGTAGACATATTTGTTTGCAATCTGTTGTGTATCTGTGGTATACTCGATGGTCATAGATAGTCTATGGTGATAGTTTATCTATGTGCGTGGCGGAGCCCGCAGATGTGAAAAAACAATTAAAGGTGAATAAAGGTGTGTGTCGATAGCCTTCTCTCTTTTCCTGATAATTATTTCGTTGATTAAATAACATATATAACACAATCCAATTAAAATGTCTATGAAAGCCTCTTGTCACCCGTTCTGCAATAGTTTTCCATGTACAAAGTGCCTTAGATCTTACCTATTGATTAAAACGCCTAGCCTGTATTATACTTAATACAAGGTGTAGTTTTGAAACCGTGGTATTTCTCGGGGGCATGTCACAGAAGTCATAAAGGTTCGATGTAAGAGAAAGTTTCGGGCCAATAGTTAAAAATCCGGCTATATATTATATCTTTTAAGTTCGACAGTATTTCAGAATAAGTGACAGCAATGTTTCTTATTGGAGTTTTAATGAATTAGGAATAATATCAATTACATGTTTGAGTTTGTGTGTATTAAACCGCGTTATAAAGCTATTCACAAGACGGCGGCATGTAGTTCGCACTTACGGATTTCCGTAATTTACATAAAAATGAAAAATATTTAACTATATTTTTTTTTATTGATTCGTACTCAGAATCGATAGACCAGTTACCTCCTAGAAAATGACGCAGCTTTAAAACCACACCTAGTATTATGATATACAAATATCCTAAAATGAACTGGAACTTTTGGTTATACTTACGCATCACGCAAGGCTTGCAAGTTGGTGGGATTCTTGAAATAATTGAGGACAATCTGTGTATTTGCTTCATTGCCTGTGACAGCCGAGTTGATGGCGGTGTTATAGTCTTGAGCACGCACGACCTGATCCTCGTTTCGAAGGATCTCGGTTAAGAATCTGAAAAGATAAACTTTAATATAGTATTACAAAAGTTGTAGTAGCACGGAGATTAAGATGCCCAGGCATGATGATTCAAAATCTGGCACATATCAATGTAACTTTATTATTGAAATTCAATACTATCAAAATATTTATTTCAATACTTTTGTGTTACGAAATATTTTTTTTGAGTAATAAAAGATTCCAATCCCCAATAACATGATATATAGTAATTATATTTTGACCAACTCGAGTGAAGCCACTTAATCAGCTGTAGGTTTACTATCAATTTGAAACATGTACCTACACAACAATTTATCTCTCGAAGAGATCAGCAGAGTTGCAATGTACATGATGCAACATAACATCAAATATATACGAGTCCACAGAAAAAGGGAATGAATTTATTGCCATAATGTAAAGGGGCACAATTCTAGACTTCGGGCTATTACTAAGAAATAAAAAAGAAAAAAGATTATACCCGACCCCGATTAAAATGAATACAGTACTTACTTTTCAATCGAGTCCTTCACAGGAGTGCAACCAAGAATCTGTAGAAGTAAAATCTTCTCTGTGTAGAGATTCTCGTTTAGGAATCTTTGCCACAGGAAATCGAAGTCTGCACTATTACCTTGGCGAAGACCATTGCAGTAGACCCAGCTGCGACTGTCTCTGTCCACACTAAAATACAAAGTATTATATGTAGCATGATACAACCTCAATGTGTTCATGAATATTCAAAGGATACGTAATCTATGTGACACCTCGCCCTATAAGTAAAAAGCATAAGTAAGAAAGCCTATAAACCTATAAGAAAGATACATAAAGAGACTTCATTACAATCATTCATACAAGCAAGACTTCTCCCTTATGGCACCCTGGCAAGGTCGCCATGCAATGTGGAGCCATGAGGGAGACGACTTGTTCTTAGGAATATATTAAATCAAGTGTCTTAATAATTAACTTACGCTACTTATTCATAGAGCGAGGTGTCACATACACTACAATCAGCACATACAAGTATTTCTTATTTCATTTATTTTTAAAACTTACGCCACTGAAGGATTCGCTTTTAGACCGTCAAATAATGACTTTGCTTTCGTTTTGCATTCATCAGCTCCCACGTTACACATTAATGGAGCAAGTTGGAATCGGAAGTATCTGTCCATGAATAAGTCATTAATGGGTTCATAAGTAAGTTCGTCCATCGCTTTTTTTGCCCAACTCTGAATCAATGCCTGAGAACAAAGCAAAATATTGAAAGAAGTTAGTCTCCTGTTGAAATAAATTATTTTCGACTGATACGCTAACGGTTAGCTCCGTTGATAAATCGACATATATAAGAATGATCAAAGACAGCTCATACGTTTTGTTATTAAAGTGCAGCAAACAAACATTTAAGTACTTAACATTATAAATAGAATACTGAACAAATAACCGTCTTTTCTGTGGCGTCGTCGAAAAAGAATTATATTCCGGCAATGTCACTAATTTATTTCCAATACCTGTCATTGAATTAATGTTAATGTCATTAACCATTTCATTGCCAGTATTGAACACATGATGAGGTACATTGTTTCTCACGTGGACCCGCGTTCCAGCACACATCGAGTTAATCCTTATTTTTTTTGTAAATACGTTATAGGAATGATTGTTTATTTCTTCAATAGTTTACAAGATAACACTTTTACTCGTCAATTTTTTATTTTGATCTAAATATCTGACAACTCTGCCGTGCAGATAACGGCATTATAGTTATACCACGACAGAACTGAGAAGAAACATTGAAACATGCACAGAAGTCATAATACCCTTTTAACGTTCAGACTAAGTCTGTAAAGGTGGAGGAACCGAAAGTTAATTCTCTACTGGTCTTTTAAAGACAGAATTCTACAAGTTTCAGTGAACTAGTTCTGTCAAAAAAAATCCGTACCAACTAAAATAAGGGTAAGTCGCACAAATACTCAAACGATCACTTCATAAAGTATGTATGAGTGGAATATCGAGGCAAAATATCAAAGGCCTGAGCATAGTTATACTTACATTGAGATTTGCTTCTAACGGGTGTCCAACGAGGCGGTTTCTAAGCCAATTGAAACCAGTAATAGCCGCAGCCCACGGAGCATAATCGGTTTCTCTCTCAAGGAATGAGAGAATATGCAATGCACGGTCATATCGCATAATACCGGCTCGAGCAAACGAGAACACGTCATTTACAATCTAAAATAAAAGAAAATTAACAGAGTTTATAAACAAATGTTAAACATACATAACATCGTCGTAACAATACAAGCGGCTCGGTTGTGGAATGCGCTGCCGGTGGAAGTGCGACGTGCTCAAACTCTGGGTCAGTTTAAAGGACGTGTGAAGGAACACTACCTGTCACTGTAGTTGTGCTTTTGTCCTTTCATTATGGATAAACACATCACATACACACACACACTCCACACACACATACACGCAACTATATATAGTTATCATTTTACATTTTAGTATATATTTATTACATAGTATTGCCATTTTTATCTTTTATGTATTATATGTAGTCTGTAAGTTTCATTGATTGTTTAATTTGTTTTTTTATTTTTTTCTTCTATTTTGGTTTTATTTTATTGTGCATCTACCACCCATTCCCAGATTCTTTTCTAAAATTCCATCCAAAGGTTGTCTGGAAGAAATCGCCGCGTGTGATAAGACCGCCCATTGTACTCAAATTACTATTGCAATGTTGACAATTTTTTTCTGTGTGTGCAATAAAGTATAAATAAATAAATGAATAAATCGTCGAGTAATAAAATGATTTGAAATAAAAATTAACATAAATTACGAATTTATGAAACAGTAATTGTAATAATGAAACTGACTGCCTCGTTGCCCGAGTGGTCGCAAGTGCGACTGCCGGACAAAGGGGTCTCGGGTTCGATTCCCGGGTCGGGCAAAGTATTACAGGGTTTTTAAAAAAAATCTCAGTATTAGCACGGAGTGTGGAACTGTGCGCGGTATATGGCAATAGGCTCACTCCTATTACATGGGACTCATAACATAAATAGTGAAAAGTGGGTGTTACATTGTACAGTAGCATTAAGAGCCGTAATGTGCACCTCTGCCTACCCCTTCGAGGATAAAAGGCGTGATGTTATGTTGAAACAGTAATACTGGTAGGCAATATTAAAAAATAAATTAGATCGTATAGTTTGCATCATATTTTATCATAAAAAAAATACTACATACTCAAACGCTTTTCAATTTTAAGTCGCATTTAAGTATAGTTCTGTCACAACAAATTCTTTGAAAAATGACAGAGATGGCACGATATTCAAGTATAACTTAAAATTGAGTAGTTTCCAGGGTATCAAAATTAAAAATCTAATTAGTCCGTCAGGTAGATAATGAAAAAATATTAGACACGTCTTTTTTATACCCTCGTATTAAGTTGCAATACTTAGATAAAATGGCGCTAAATTTGGAAGTTAGAGGTCGTTACGTCATAACGTGCGACAGGATATGGCACGCTGTGACGTCACACGACATTTCAAATTAATATATCGTCGAAAGTATTGAATTTTGTGAGAAAGGAAAAATACGTGTCTAAAGTTTTAAATTAATGTACCAGTCGGACATTAAAATAATATTAGGAAACTTATGAGTCCCATGTAATAGGGAGTGAGCCTATTGCCATATACCGGGCACAATTCCCGACTCCGTGCTACTACTGAGAATTTATAAAAACTCATACCCTATTGAGTAGCTTTCAGTATTCGAGTTTCGAACATGCAGTACCTACTCATCAAATTTCTTTACGAAAACAGATAAAATTAAAATTAGTAGAACAGCATAACTTTTGCTTAATTTGTAAATATTTACCTGAGCTTTGTTTAACTCGTGTATCGCTTTGTTCTCATTTTCATCTCTTAATGCCAATGCAATTAAATTCCATGAGTAGTCATCATAGTTAACTCTATAGAAACCTGTTGGAAGAATTATTGAATTAATTAGATATTGGATTTTTTAACGTCTAGTAACACAAAGTTAAAAATAATGGAACATAAACTGGGCTTAATTTTTTTTTTTTGGAACTAGTATATAACTTACGATCACTAGGAAATCAGTAAAAATCGCTTGTATAAGAAATACAGAATTAACTAAAGGATAATTTGCTTGTATAAAAACACATATAACTAGAAAAATAACATATCTTAACGCCGTGGTGGAGTTTTTATGTTCATTTGTTTGTCACATATGATTAATAGTAGCCATGCGTGACCATACCATAATCCACAGCTGTTCCGAATTTCATTTCAATATCTGTTACAATTTCAGAAAGAGAATAACACACAAACAGATAGATAGATATATAATAAAGTAGGATTCTCCTATAAAATACGATCTATCGTCTTCTAAGAAAGTCTTAAGAAAGTCTCAATAAATAAATAAATAAATAAACAAATAAATAAATAAATTAAGATGGGACAAAATTGAAACAAAATGATGTACCTGTTTGTTGGTTATTGAAGATAGTATAATGATCAGAATAAACGCCGCGGTCAATGACAGTAATGGCATCTTTAATAATATGAGTTGGCTTCGTGTTCGCGAAATTTTCTCTGTCAAATCCAGTTGTAAAAGTAATTGGAATAACATACAATGTATTGTGAAGCGAATATCCAGTGTTGATATTGAAACGTCGCTGGAAAAAAATAACCAATATAGTGGCACGCAATATGAAGCTACTGTGTCAATAAAAATTAAGTAATGCTTATGTCAAAGTCAAAATCATTTATATCCTCCGATTGTGGAATGAACTCCCTGCTGTGGTTTTCCCAGTGGACTACAACATGGGGTTCTTCAAGAGGGGAGTGAATAGGTTTCTTAAGTGTCGGCAAGACGCATGTAATGCCCCAAGTGTTGCAGGCGTACATAGGCCATGGTAACCGCACTTTTGAACGTCAACAAAAAATTAAAAGTGAAGATATATGTTTAGCAGAATTTCTATTCTTCTTAACATTGTGACATATAGGCAGCAATAAGTTCTAAGCATACCTGATGAATAGTCATTTGTCCCGTTTGTTGATTAATATGCACGTTCAGGATGGGGTGACCGGCCTGTTCAGTCCAGCTCTTATAATATTCCACAAAATCGAATGATGGACCATAGTTAGTGAAAGCCCCATTTCTCAATCCTGCGTCATTTAGAGCTTTAAACAGATCTTCAGGTTTTGTTGTTTTGAATTGACTGCAAACAGAAATAAATAATTATTAAATAAGAAAATGCAAAAATAGTTCCTACTTTTTTTTAAACAAAAATGAGCACGAATAGAAAAAAATCCATATTAATTATATTATTGTCCTTTTATATTGTATTGTAATACATAAAAAGATTACAAGATATTATATTCAAAATTGCATATAGGAATGGCAAATAATATTTTATACAACAAAAATCACTTACTTATCTTTTAAATATTGTGCGAGACCTTCGTCATGAATCTGTCTACCAAGGAGATGTTCTGTCATTCTGATGACTGCTGCACCTTTATTGTAAGTGATGGTCGAAAACATAGCACTAACAGAAGCTGGACTGCCAACACCAGGGTTGGTCAGGGGATGCGGGTTGTTAGCAGAATCAGATAGCAAAGACGTATGCACTTGCTCTGGAACGAAACGAATGTCAAAACCCATCTCCTCCACCTAAAACCAAAGCATAATTAATTTAACTATTATTATTTTATCTTTACAAACTTTTGTTTAAATTAATCCCCGCGTCTCAGGTCACGAAATGCTGCTCATAAATGTAATCCTCTAGCATAGCTAGAAACTAGTCAAGTTCCTCGTCAAATTATTACGTGTACTAAAAATCGCAGGTTACTACGTGAATATACAGACCCACAGATGGGTTCTTCCTCATGAGTTGCGTGCACGGTCGAAGCGAACGTCGCGCAGATCGCTAACGTCGCCGCGACCGCGCACGCTGCTCATGAGGAAGAATCCCTCTGTGGTTCGAAACTAGTAGAGTTTTTCTCAGTATATTCACGTGAGTAACCCGCGATTTTTAGTTAAAAATGTCAAAATTTGTGAGTGTGTGGTTATGTGTATGCTCGTGACAATCAGGTCAAAACAGGTGAAGGAATCGGAATGAAATTTAGAACAGGGTTAGATTATGGTTTGGGTTTGGAATAACAGGCTACTTTTTATTCTTCGGGAACGAGGGTGGAGCCGATGGCAGAAACTAGTGTATGAAACAAAACAAAATAACGTTTTTTATTATTCAAGTTAGTTTGCATGACCTTATGGCAGTTATTTACACAAGTACACAACATGACTGCATGATTGGCATGGTGCCTGGGCAACCCGCTGCCACAAATTGTTGTTCCGGGTGTCATTATGTGTATGTGAACTTGTATGTTTGTAAACGCACCTACGACACAGGAGAAAATCCTAGTGCGGGCAACGTTTTAAAAAAAAATTCAGCCAGCAGTGCCGAAGCATGGCTCTCCCGTAAGCGTACCAAGTAGGTACGTATGTAATGTTTTCTAAGTTTTAAATCACCGTTCCGCCTTGATTGAATTGTATCACTTTTCTATTGTATTCTATTTCATATAAAAAGGGCTTTTCACAATGAAATGCAAGGTGTAGTGCGAAAGTTACTTACAAGCTGATGCTGATGAAAACTTTGAATTTGCATGGGAGAGTTAGGGCTGGAAGCCTTAAAAGAAGACCGGAGTGAAACAATTCTTTTGGGGGGGGGGATCATCCATCCAATGACTCTCCCGCTTTTAATGAGGCGAGAGTGTGTCAGCCAGAAACTTTGAGCCCCTGCAAACCGTTTATCTCCCACGGCTTAAACGAATCAAATGCGGACTGGCATTACCGTGAACCAAAAAAACTGACTGCCTCGCTGGCCGAGTGGTCGCAAGTGCGACTGCCGGGTAAGGGGTCGGGCAAAGTATGACTGGGTTTTAAACAAAATCTCAGTAGTAGCACGGAGTGTCGAATTGTGCTCGGTATATGGCAATAAGCTCACCCCCTATTACGTGGGACTTATAACATAAATAGTGTAAAGTGGGTGTTACTTCTGTGTGCACCTCTGCCTACCCCTTCGGGGATAATAGGCGTGATGTTATGTCACGTTATGTTAAATAAATCGTACCTCGTTCGTCAAAAAGTACTGGTAGTATCTTGCAAAGCCTTCATTCAACCATAGGACGTCCCACCAGTCGTTTGTGACAAGATTCCCGTACCACATGTGAGCGATTTCGTGTGAGAGAATGTAAGCGATGATCTGTTTGAAGTGACTGCTCGTTTCCAATGGATTAGACAGCAGATAAGCTTCCCTGAAAAATGTTCAGTTACTAAGTGTATGTATTTTTCTATGTACCACGTGCTCTGTTATTCTTCTTTCTGTTAGTCTTCGACAGTACATAACTATAATCAAATCAAATATAGTAAGCTAATTATTATAACAATAAAATGTAGTATTCATATTAGGCGTTGATTCCTTAGATTAAGCATATTCATAACATAAAGACTATAATGTCAATACTGAAAATATGCCATTGCTATAATTATTATACATATGCATAATGTATGTACAACATTTATATGTTTATAAGCTATCCTGAGGATAGTTTAAATACATCTCTTTTCCGAAAACACTGGTCTGGTATTTCACATTAGGTTTTTTTCTTATATCAGGGATGCGTTTGCAAATACAATTTTACATAAACATCATACATAGGCCCGAAATAATAAGGTTGTGGATGACACAAAGAATCAATTCGATTGCGCAGTAGCTAGTTACCTATTTGCTGATCAGTAAAATTATAATCGACTCTCAAAATCAGGTAAAAAAATATAACACGCTTTAAATGCAATAAATATTGATTGTCTAATACAGAAAGACACAGAAAAAGTACCTGTAAGTCAATAGTCCCCAATTCTCCATAGCGCCAGCTCCAAAATCGGGAATAGCGGCCTGAGTCATCTTAAGATTCGAACTTTGTTCATAAAAGTCATATTGTGTGATTTCACTCATCTTTTCTAGAAGAGCTTGACCGGTCGTCAAAGCATAGTCTCCTTGATTTGCAGCAATTGCACTTGTCCTTGCTATTACTTCGTGAAATTTATCTTGATTACCATTATCTCTACTATCATAATCTTTAGCAACGATCAAAGCAAGAAGATAAGTTGACATTACTGGAGTTTCAGTATATATGTCCTCTTGAAAGTTACTGAAAATGGAAAAAGAATTTAAACGACATTGATACTTCACACATTTTACTATAAATAAAATATTTAAATTTAGGTACTTACAGGAGGCCAGATATAGGCACGGAAGATACATTAACTTTAGTGCAGAACCAACTCTTATAGCCATATGGACGCTGAATGTGAACGGTGAATCTAGCTTTGAAACTGGGTTCATCGTAACAAGGAAATGCGTGGCGAGCTGAAGTTGCTTGGAACTGAGTTGTAGCCATCCACCTAAAAACAAATTAATGTTGGTAAATGATTTTAGTTTTTAGTTACATTGTAATTATACATTAATTGTTTTATATTTATATTAAATAGGATAATTTAAAAAAATATCATCGGTATAATTATAATCAGTATCTAATTATTTTGTTATAATAAAAAGTCTGACTGCCTCGTTAGCCGAGTGGTCGCAAGTGCGATTGTCGAAGTCTCGGGTTCGATTCCCGGGTCGGGCAAAATATTACTGGGTTTTTAAAAAATCTTAATTTAGCACGGAGTCTGGAATTGTGCCCGGTATATGGCAATAGGCCCATCCCTATTACATGGGACTCATAACATAAATAGTGAAAAGTGGGTGTTTTATTGTACAGTGGCATAATGTGCACCTCTGTCTACCCCTTTGGGGATAAAAGGCGTGATGTTATGTTATGTTATGTTATGTAATAAAAAATCATAAAAGTATATAGTTGACTTACTGCTTAGAGTCTTGAGGTGTATCTTTAAACCAACTTTCATAGATTCCATACATATCGTTTCGGAAACCTCCGGTAAATTCGATGCTTAGCACATATTCATAAGGATCGGTCTCATTATACTGAAGGTAACCATCATTAAGTGTTACAATATAGAATTGGTAATCTTTCTGAACTGAAGGCGTAGTAGGGATCACCTGTTGACCCCGTCTAAGAACCGTATTAGAATTTACAGTGTTATCACTGTGGATGACAATTTGGTTAACATTTGGTTGTGTTGCTACAAGCGTTATAGCAACTGAGCCAGAATAGACTCTATAAGGTTCGAACTGAATCCTCCAAGTCAAATCATAGCTTATGGGGGCCGTTGTAGTGGGCAGTCTATAGGGTGAAACACCGATATTACTAGGGGTCAGCTCAATGTTGTCAAAAGCATCGACATTCTCAAAAACTTCGCCTTCAAAACGTTCATCTGCAAATATGGTATTCCTTTTGCCTGGCTCCACAGGAGATACGGCAGCTGCACTAAGGCAAGCCAAAGATAAAACTATAAGTTTTATCGCTATCATCTGAAACAGAACGACAACATTTATTATTCTTTGCGTTTTGTACGGTAACAAGTCTAATCTATCTTCTTCTATATCTTCTATACATATAATAAAATTAATAAATTGAACGTCGTGGTGGCCCGGAGGTTTAAGACGCCCACTTTTCATGCATGAGGGTGCGGGTTCGAAACCTACCAACGGCAAGTACCAATGTGACTTTTTCCGAGTTATATGTACTTTCTAAGATTATTTAGACACCACTGACAAACGGTGAAGGAAAACATCGTGAGGAAACCTGAACTTATAATTTCTAATTATAAGTTTGAAATCGCCAACCCGCATTGAGCAAGCGTGGTGATTAATGCTCTAACCTTCTCCGTGTGAGAAGAGGCTTTGCTCAGCAATGGGCATTTATAGGCTGTTGATGATGATGATGATGATGATGATGATATAATAAAATTGTAGAAAAGTGCTGTATGTACATTGAAAATAAAAATAAATAAAATAGCAGGGGTTATTGTTATGTCGATGTCGAACCCAAAAATGTAATTAACTTTTTGTTTGTCTGTTTGTCTGTTCACGCTAATCTCAGAAACGGCTGATCCGAGTTGGATGCGGTTTTCACGAATATATTGTGGTATGCTTCAGTTATGCTTTAGTGTTTGTTTGATGTCAATCGGTTCATAAATAAAAAAGTTATGTCAAATTAAAGAATCACGTCGTGAGTATATATTTAAAAAAAAACGCTGCTCATAGTCACTATTCCACGCGAACGAAGTCGCGGGCACAGCTAGTGTTAAATAAATTGACAACTGCATAATCTACTTATACAAAAGTCACTGCACAAAATTTATGTACAATATATCTCGTGAGTTTGTAAACTGACTATAAATTGTGAAGTGTGGGTACGAAACCATTAAAAACTTAATACATTGTATTTCGCTACTTCATCCGTGTATAATATGATTTCTGTTTAATCCCATAGGAGCATTTAAACACGATAAAACGTCTGTAGAAATCCTATCACCTATGTCAGCCCATACCCTGCCTGAATACCAAATTTCATCAAAATCCGTGATTGTGATAAAATCCGTTTCAGCGTGATTGACGGACATCCAAGGTGCTAGAAGATAGGAGTAAATATGGAAATATAGGAGGTGATAACCCTATACCCCTCTTTCATCTTTTTACGAAAACTTTCTATTAAAGTAAAAAGTTTTCTATTAAAGTTAATATTAGTTCAACAAGTTCATTCACCAAAAATAGTAGTTACCGACATACATAGCTCGCAATGAAGAAAAACTTCGTTCGGGAAGACTCTAATCGATTTATCTTGAGTACTATTAGGACATTTTTAGATACTCGCTACAAAATCAAGAAAATTGTATATTTTTCTTAGTAGTACATACTAATATGCTTTGAAAAAGCATTTGTATGGAAAAAAACTACACAACGAGTACAAAACAGAATAATTTATTTATATAATTGCATTTAATTATATAAAGTCATAAGTATGTCTGTATTCAATTTAATTTAAATAATAATTTATATAACTACATAAATATTTACAACTTAAAATTAACTACAACTAAACTATTAAATAAAAAGAAAGTAAAAGAAAACAACAAAAATTATACCCTTAATTTAGGCGTCAAAGTATTCGTCCGCATCACTATAATATGTTTTTTTTTAATTACTGGACTATAATAGGTCTAAAATCGAAGGCCATAAGATTATATATCTGCTATACCTACCTACTTACTAATAGTTTCTGTAATTAATGTTTACTATCTTTTTATCGTATTTTAATATCTGATAACTTACATTTTATCATGTAAAAATGTATATCTAAATTCCTTGAATCACATTGATCTATTATACGAATTAAAGCAACTTGATAAATACATTTTGAAAGTAAAAATGTATTTATCAACTTAACAGTTTTAGTACTGTATATTATCATTTATTGTCATATAATCGCTTACTGTGAAGTCGCTTATATTTGTATAAATTATATGTGGGCGGAAGATGCAATGAAAATATATAAATAAAGAAAGTTAATTAAACTGTATAAATTAATCAATGCATGGAGAAGATGGTCGTCGACTGCCTTGGTATTGTCATGTAGCAAGAACGCATGAATGAACACATTCTGTCACTGTCAATTCCAACTTTCAAAGTGAGCTCGATCGCATTCTCGCTCGTCATTGGACGATATTCTTCTCACAACATGGCGGACCGCGATCGAGTTCACTTCGAAGTTTTGAATTTAAAGTTAGAATGCGGTTTAAACTTTTTTTGCTCACCAAATGGCACAAATTTTTGTCCAATCACAGCAGTTGTCAAATATAGAACGTCCAATGATATGACACTATCTAATACCCTAACGGACAAAGAAAAAGAGATTAAAACTAGCGCCACCTAGTGAGCAAAAATACGGTAGACCCTATTTAGAATTAAAATTTACAATATTGTAGCTGAACTGTTTCTTTCTTTTGTTTTCTAAGAAAATGCGTTAACAATCCGTACGAATATTACAAATTCCAAACTGTGTGTCTGTGTTCATTTATTCGTCTTTCATTGCAAAACGGAGCGACGAATTGACGTGTTCTTTTAAGTAGAAATAGTTGAAGGGATGGGGAGTGACATAGGCTATTTTTCATATCTTTTCAACCCTCCACTTCCTTCAAATGAGCCGACTAAAAGAAGCGAGAAAGAATTTGTTATAGTATGTAATTTACTTAACCTTAATAATATCGTACACCACACGTGTGAAGCCGCGGGCGGAAAACTAGTTCTAAATTACAACTAATGTTATATTTGAATGTGTCTATTTACGCTTATTTAGCTAACATTGCTTACATTCAAGGTCACAATTCACGAAGTTACATAGATAAATAACACAGCATAATATTCCAAAGCTACTCGATATTCTAGATATAAATTTTTACACGAACTGATAAACTATTTTTGGTTGTCTTAATATGTCTACAGGTTTTTAGGGAATCAGATCACATTTTCATAGCATATTACAAATTTAAGGCTATAATTATAATTCACTACAGCTGTGTACATAGTACATACTAAGAGATGGTTTTAACTTATCATAGATATACCATCAAAACGAACCTTATGACCAATGAAATAAAAATGATAAACAAGCTTTGCCTCTTTAATTATGAAAACTCCATCGAAATTTAACGAATCATTTCTGTGTTGTTATTACAACCGCAGGTTTTACTAGTACCTACAATAAAAATTACAATGTGACCTTCACTAGGAAAAATCAGAGCCCCTATAAGTTGTGCCACTAATAAGTACATACATTATTATACACATATAGAAATTGTGTAAAACTTACCTTGTCTACCCGCGACCAGCAAAGCGGGCACAGTATATTCAACTGGATTATTGTAATCAACTTATTGAAATATACACATTAATGCTTAATCACTTGCGATATAGTATCAAAAATTATCAACAAAACATATTACTCCGATGATATTTCGGTAGTTATCGTATTATCAGTTTCGTTACTCGATTAGGTCGGTCAAATAAGCAGAGTAATGATATATCGCTATTATCGTTTGTTTTAACGCAAGATATGTTTTGATCAAGGATTATTCTGCTAGCGGTCCTTTCAAACAAATGTTTAATGTCATAGAACTGCATCCTTGAAGGTCACTGGAGGCAAGTTGCTGGCCAATTATGGGGTTTTAACGTCCCGACTTCAGAAACGTTTGCAAATAAAATTTACGTTTTTTTAAATAAAATTACTTCATGTTCTGCACAATCCTTTATTTATTATTATACACATATAATGACGCTTAATAAATATTTATAGGTTTCAAACAACCCTGTAAGACACAGTTACATATAAAAAAATAATAAAAATAAATCGCTGAATTTGTTGCTAAGCGCAAATCTCTTCGCAAAAGTCGCGGAGAACCTAACGGGTAACCGGGGCTCCGGCTCGACGTGCAGGAGAAGGAACGGGGTGGTTTTTAGTCAGTATGAGTCTGACACTCCCTTCCGCCTCACCCAGGCGGGAGCAGTCATTCGATGATTTTCCCCCCTTAAAAAAAAAAAAGTGCAAATCTCTAAAACAGTTGAACAGATTTCGCTAATCCTTTTTAGTTGGATATGGTATTATTAGAAGAAGTGTCTTAATAAAAACAAAGCGCGGAATAAATTCCAAAACCTGTGAAAAGTGGGTGTTACGTTATACAATATGGCATTCAGTGCTTTATTGAGCACCTCTGCTTCCCCTTGGGGAATAAAAGGTATGATGTTATGTTACTAAATAAATATGGCAATTATATTATGGTGAGTCGCTTATTTCGAGGAGGCTCATGGTTCAGCGACGCAGTAGTTACCATAGACTGTTGGTGTTAATTGTTTTGTGCCTGTTATTACCATATCCTAGGTTAGGATCCTACGAGCCTATGGATTTCAAAAATTTCAAAATTTCAAAGATTCCAAAAATTTCAAATTTCAAAGATTATAAATCTTTGGATCAGTTGTAGCGATTGTCAAAGAAAACAATAATTATAATATCTGTATAAAAAGAACTTTCATTTGTATGTATGTTTAAGTAACGGAGGAGTCTTGAATGACTTTACTTATAATCTATAATAGATTTTTTATAGTCAGTGCTACAGTACTTTTATCCCCAGCTTGCTCTTCGACATAGGCCTCCTCCAAAGATTTCCAGTTTTCCCTATCCCTCGTTATTCCAATCCACTCTGGTCCAGCAGTTTTCCTTAGGTCATCTTCCCAAAGCTTTGGTTGTCGCCCTTTGCTCTTTTTCCCATCTGGGGTACCATTCTGATATTGTCTTTGTCCATTTCATATTCCTCTCTCTTATCATCGCCTACAATATCAAATGTAAATATTTGAATTAAGAATACTCAAATTAAGCTTTGTTGCTTCGAGTTTGAATTTTGGTGTATTGAGGATTTAAAATTTGTACTAAAATGACTTTTAAAATCTGTACTACAACCTCTTTGCAATTGCGGAATGTTTGATGCGATGAGTAAGTAGACAGAGCGAAGTTTCTTGTGATATTTATTCCCTAAAAAACTAATTCAGTGTCGTGAGTCGAATATCTTGATCGTTATGTCAGAATGACTTAACAATTTCGACGGATTTTAATTTTATCATCACTGTATGTGAAGATAATTTAGCGCGATATTTTCGCAATTATATTCAAATGTGGTACAACTAACGCCATCTATTATGGGAAGTACTGAATTAATCATTTAAAATTGATCATTAATTGTAATTTGTCCTATCATATCAACCCTTTATTCTAAAATGAAGTAGGACTAACTAACCACTCAATACTGCACTAGGGAACATACTCTTTGTACTAGGAACTTACCTATTACGTAACATTTCAAATATTTAGATACTTAATATTGTTGTAACTTAATCACTTGAGATCTCGTACTGAACTCCCCAAAATTCGTTCATGTAAAAGTAGTCTCTAAACATCGGAAATAAGGTCTATCTAATAGAGCCATCACCACGGATGGGGCCCAATAGGCCTGATGCCGATACGGAGCCGCGGAGGGCTTAACGGGTTGCCGGGGCTCCGGTTTGAAGGGCAAGAGTAGGAACGGGGTGGTTTTAAGTCAGTAAGATAAGTCATTCGATGATTTTCCTCCCTTAAAAAAACCAAAAAGGTATTTTCCTACACAATTTGATCAAAAACAGTAGTCGTTGTTGCGTGGCCTTTTTTCTGAGGGCAAAATCATTAACGAATGACTTCCAACCCAATGCTATACGGAAGGGAATGTCAGACGCATACTGACTAAAAGCCAACCCGGTTCAACTCCTGCTCCATGCCGGGGCCATTGTAACTAGGTATATCATGACATTGCTTGAAACAGTCGCATAGGACTGGATATAAATATTGGTAACGGATGTACAAGGTTTCTTTACATGGTAAGCATTCCTGCGACCTTGTTTATATGTATATAGGTACTTTCTTGCCTTATAAAAAGTGGTTTTATTCTACACGCAAAAACGGTGTGCAAATACCTACATTGCAATAATACATAGGTGTCTGTGTTGTGTAGCCTGGCAAATGAATATTTGTTTATAATATCCTATGGGGCCATAGGAAGCATCGAACTTCAGGCTAGAGGCGCAGAGGGCACCCATCAAAATATTTGCAATGTTATCTATATTTTTATCATTTCATTAGGGAGATTAACTTTTTCGTCTATCACTGATTACAGTGAAAATCGATATCATATTAATACGGATGAATAAAATAATAATATAATCAAGTTGAGCCAGCATAAGTAACGGAATAAATTTCATACATACCTCAGTGCCTCAAGACGAAAGTTTATAATCAATCTAGCGATGATATATGGAACCCAAACGTGGTCTCTCGCAGTGGGCCTTATAAAGAAGCTGAAGGTCGTTTTAGTGAGCTATGGAAATGGCTATGCTCAGAGTTTCTTTGCATCGAATTAATAATGAGGAAATGAGGCCTATGTTCAGCAGTGGACGTTCTACATCTGATATGAGGATGATGATGATTGGTTCTATAACTAAAGACACATGCCGGCGGCATGAATTCATGCCGAGCAGCTATGGCACAAGCCACACAAAGCCGTCAAGCATCATTCCGGTTGTGACAGTCACATAGAACGCTAGTGAAGTGAAAATTATTTAACCCGCCGGCGCACCCCGGCGGCCATGCCGCGGCTTCTCCTTTGTGCAGCAAAGCCCGGCACGGCGGCTTGGCCGGCGGCTTATCCGGCAGCCCTGCCGCCGGCACTATGTGTAGAAGCCTTAACTAAATTATTGCACAAAGAACTTGTCGGAGATGTATGCTGCACTGTATATGTATTGAGTGACAGGTTCAACGTCCAATGTACTGAATTTTCCCATCTTACTATCTCTAAAATAAGAACTATTAACTGGTCTAAATAAAATAGTTTGTATAGGTAGGTACGTTGTCAGTAGTCCACATAATCTATCAAGGAACTTTTTAATAACTTTTCCTTCACAGCCCTTTTGAATATTATATAAGGATTTGACTAACATAATATGGTGAATAATGTTGTAGATAATTGAAGAAAGTTAAAATGTTTCCATGCTTTTAAAACATTGCATAGTAGGTACTCACACGAGTTTTATATGTAACCAACTAAGGTCTGTACCAACCTTCGTACAAATTTTCGGCGACTGTTCGCCTAATAAGGCGACCTTATTTCAAACCTTGTATAATCTTGTAGATAAATAAAGTTGAGAAGAAACATATTGGAGGTTGTAATGTATTTATTTGACAATCACGATATCGAAAATAGTAATTATAATTGCATATTTTTTAAGTGGCCCGTCTCAGAAAGCGGGCCATCTTTGGCGAACATACCTCATATTATAGATCGTTTGTTACGCTATAGTTTACGACAGTAGCGCACTGTAAGTATCATATTTCTTTAGCTGTTTTTATCTCCGGTGATGAGTAAGGTTACCGGAGGCCCAATCATCCCCCTCCTCTTCCCCAATGTCCCCAATCCCTAAATCCTCAACGATGCTCAAACACATAATCCCCAAAAGGCCAGTAGCGAACTTGTAACGCCTTTGGTGTTCTAGTTGTCCATGGGCGACGCCGATTGCTTACCATCAGGTGATCCGTCTGCTCGTTTACCAGCTTATGCCATAAAATAATCTCCCTCGCCTCCTCTTGGCGCTGGCGCTAACGCCAGATCTACTAGCATAGCGACCCGTTTTATAGAATAGACTAAACATACATTTGGCTACTAATCGTGTCAAACTCTGTCTATTTTGCTTATGTCAGCCGCATACATTGAGTTTTCTAAGTAGACACGCTTGTAAAAGGCATGTGGCTAGCACCTCTGGCGCCCGCTTCTTTACCAATTACACCTTAGCGCGAATGCACTAATCTAACCTAATATTCAAAAGATAACGCAACGAGAAAAGCTTTACAATCCGCCATTTTGTGTAAACATTTTACGTGGAAGGTAAACTCTCTCTGTAATTATGTCAGGGTGATCCAGAGGCTTAATATGCCCGCTTTTAATGTATGAGTACGGTTTCGAATCCCTGCAAGTCTCGATAGAATGTTTGTATGAAGAGATTGCCAATTCTATAAAATTTTCAGGTAGGTATCTACCTGGTTATCAAAATCATAGTTACAAAACAAGCAGTACTGCTGGTCTTGCAACAAAAATGATTAAATAAAACACAATGTATATAAATCTCAATTTTTATAAACTGTAATTTATGAAAGTTATTATTAGAATTAGAACTAAATAGTACAAAGTTTAGTTTGTATTTACAGACAATTAACTATCTAAGATAAGATAATATAGTACTTCATTTAAATATTATTTTAAATTATAGCTAGAGATGTGACGATGTTTAATAAACTTGAACATTATGACTGTAGAACAAGAAATTGTTGAAAAAGAAAAATTAAACACAAATAAAAAAAATAGTCGCAGACTCAAAGAATGTTTTTAATTACGGCACTAAAGATATACATAAGGTTCATCAGCATCGGAAACGAAAACTAACTTTAGCTGTAAAAGCATACTAGATAAAGTATTTTTAATTATTACTGATTGTCTTTAGGATTTAATACAATGAAATTATAATAGTGATTCAGATCCAGGATTTCTAAAAGGACTAATATTTTCAATAGCTTCAAACACTTACAGTTACGGCTGAGTAGCCAATAACATTAAACTAAATAAAGTAAGATACGAAATTATTTTAAAGTTCACGTTAATGAAGTATGCTTTTCAATCGAAGTTAAATAGCAAGTACAACTTTATAAGAAATGAAATTAGATTCTCCTTTTCATATAAAGTTCAATTAAGACACACGTAATCGTTCGAGGGTGGTTGACTAGTTTATAACCACGGCTGGGGCTCACAAACATGAGCAGAATGAACTACTCAACATCTCAACGGCCAGCCATATTAAGCCCTTTTGTACCTATTCAAATTAATTTAGTATGTCACACAACAGTTAAAATTAATAATTTAAAAAAGTAATCAAGAAGGCTAGACTGAATAAGTATTCTTGGTGTATATACATTTTACAATAACATTGTATGACGCTAAAAATCGCAGCTTAAGTTCTTCGTGCAAAAGTTACGCTATTAAAATAATAACATAAATTTATTTTAATTCACAAATTTCGTAAGTATAAAATTTCTATACTACTTACTCAGATTGTGAAGAATGATTATACTGTACAATTGGGGTCATGGTAATGACTATTTTGTTCTAGAATAATCTTAATTTAGTTTAGCTGCTTGATCCGCTGCCCGAAGCCAGTCGACGATGGTATGGTAGTTCCGATCCCTCCACTGCACGTTTGAGGAGATGGTCTCCAACACTTGCTGAACTGGACGTCCCAAGTCACTGCAGGATTCCATCACGAATCTCTTTAACTGCAAAAATATAAAAATGTTGTGTTACATTTCAATTTTCGTTGGATACAAGTTGCGGATTGTAGAGGCCTTTATCGAAGTTTACTACAATCGAATTGGGTCGATGTAACTATTCCATATATTCTATCCCACCCCGTGAGTTCGTGTAAAGCATGTTTGAATAAAAAATGTCAACATAAAATATTGAATTAGTAGAAGATTCGCTTTTTATTCGCCCTCCCAGGGTTTTGGCTCTTTACTAAGATTATGGTTAACAAGACTTCGGTGACGAAGTTACCATCACGTCTGTTTTAAGTATCCCTTGGCAGAGGAGCTCGATTTTTGGTAATGAGCGAACATTTGTTATGAATTCCTCATAATAAGATGTTTGGTTTTTGCCACAGGGATAACATAATATTAATATACATATTAACATAATATAATACTATATAATATTTTGTCTGATCCCGAAATACAATTATCGAAATAATGTAGCCAATGAAAACTAAATACGAATTACCTGGTTTAATTAAGAGATTATTAATAAAGTGATTATCATCATTCTGTATAATTAAATGTATAATTAAATTGCACGTTAAGTATATAATGCAATGAGAATGATATTGACTAGTCATCCAGATAAAGATGAGAATAAAGTGTCTGTAGATAACAATGATGACATTTTTTGGGCACCACTTTCTATTATGCGTCATCAAAAAAGATTATATACCTAACAATTAAAAAAGATTTAGGAATTAACTGAGAATTGTCATCAGTTCATTCCTAAATATTTTAAATAAATAAAAATGAAGTTACGGTCGTTAGTCTCGCTAAAACTCGAAAATAGCTGAACCAATTTGACTAATTTTAGTCTTGAAATATTCGTGGAAGTTCAGGGAAGGTAAAAGATGAGAAAATAATTTTTTAGGCGGTACGAAGTGTGCCGGGTCAGTCAGTGTAGAATAAAATTGATATTTGACAGTTTTTAGTATGGAAGAATCGTCAAATATTGGAAGTTATTCCTCAGTTAAAATTTAACTGAGCATTGAAAAAATTACCTTAATCAATTCTGTTATACTTTAATTTAAACCAGTTAGTTTTTTGTTACAAGTAAAACAAGTGAATCTATTTCTGAAACAAACTCATTAATAATAAGGTACATCTAGCTTATGACTGCCTCATTGGCTAAGTGATCGCAAGTGTGTCTGCCGGGCAAGAGGTTTCGGGTTCGATTCCCGGATGGGGCAAAGTATTACTGGGTTTTTTTTAATTTTCTCAGTAGTAACACGGAGCCTAGAATAGAGCCCGGTATATGGCAATAGGCTCACCCCCTTTTACATGGGTCTCATACCATAAATAGTGAAAAGTAGGTGTTACATGTACAGTGGCATAATGTGCACCTCTGTCTACCCCTTCGGGGATAAAAGGCGTGATGTTATGTTATGTTAACTAACTTATTATAATCAAGATGCATTAAATTAAATCAATAAATTTACGAATAGTTTCTCTTTAGGTCAGTTAATCAATCATAATTTTAGATTACTATAAACACTAATAATTGCCAACATCAATGATCAAGTGATCATAGAAACGACTCTTGAAGGAAATGCATTGTTAGAATTATAAATTCCAACTTCATTTCTAATAAACAAACATTAAAATAATACCTCTTCATATTCATGCGCCTGGTTTAGCCGTCTGGTGACCAGTTTAACAATCAAATTGATCGTGGACAGGGATCCAACACTGAAAATAAAACAGAATCATGTTAAAAGAAGTCTTAAGAACAAAGTCATCAAGTGTGGGAGAGCCATGCTTCAGCACGAATGGGTCGGCTCGACCGGAGTGAGACCACGGCCTCACAGAAAACCGACGTGAAGCAACGCTTGCGTTGTGTTTCGTCGTGTGAGTGAGGGTGAGGAAATGGACAAAGACGATAATATTTTGGCAATCTCAGATTTTTTACAGGGAATATCAAGATATTCTCTCTTTCCCTTATATTCTATCATGGTATATTCTATCTTATAATGGTAGTAGTAAGCTACTACCTATTAATAAAGGGAAGGATAAAATGTGAACTATAAATTAATAAAAATTTAAAGATTAATTAGGTACTAACAATGATCGAAGTCGTTGCCAATTAGCTCTGATGTAGTTGAACGCTATTGGCTGTCCGATGCCAGTGCCAGCAACCGCCGAGAACACACGGACGATATCCTGCTTCCTAATACCGCTGTCGTTGCGCAGTGACATCTCTAAATACCTGGAAAAAATATTAGCAATTTTATTTTTTTAAGACAAAAAAGTATTTTAAATATATAGATAGTGGTCAAACGTCCGTCGGCCCATCAAATATATATAAAAATATACATCCCTAGAATTAGAAAACATATTAATAAAAATACTGTTTCGTGTGGAAATAAACCCTCAAAAGTTTAATGCTTTATGCCATTCCATAGCCAACCACTACGAACCACTGCGAAAATAGTATGGTTTCCGAAAAGTAATTAATATAACACAAGGGATAGGCAGAGGTGCACATTATGGCACTTAATGCCACTGTACAATGTAACACCCACTCATCACTATTCATGTTATGAGTCCCATGTAATATGGGGGTATTGCCATATACTGGGCACATTTCCAGCCTCCGTGCTACCACTGAGATTCTTAAAAACCCAGTAATACTTTACACGACCCGGAAATCGAACCCGAGACCCCTTGCCCGGCAGTCACACTTGCGACCACTAGGCCAAGGAAGCAGTCTGGAATTTGTATGTATTCTAAAAATCCATTCTGGTAGAAACCAGTATTGGTTTAACCCATTAAGTAGTTAGTAATTTAATGATTCATTGATTTGTATTGTGAAATAAATGCTTTTTATGTCTTTCTTTAATTTATAACCTACAATTTTTCCCGTCAATGGTCTTAATAGATATTCACAGCACTCACCGATGAAGCAATGAAGGAGACCTCGTGCAACCCAGTACAGACAGCAGTCGATGTCGCTCTGAAGGTGCAGTTGCCACCTTGAACCGGTCCCATGCAAAAGTCCACTCCCTCACGCCGCCAGCTCGTACTCCGACGCAGTACACTATTCCACGCAGATCAACATGAATTCTGGAATACAGAGGTTATCTATGAACTGCTGGGTTCCGACTTTTGGTTAAATGACTTAACAGCACCGCCAACACCTCATGACAGTTCACTATTGTACTAAGGGCCTCCGTTACAAAATAGAGGTTTATCAATTACCATTATTTTCACGCCCGCCGTGGTTGAAAGAACATCACAAGTTTCTTCTAGCCTTCATCAACAGCCTATAAATGCCCACTGCTGAGCAAAGCCTCTTCTCACACGGAGAAGGTTTGAGCATTAATCACCACGCTTGCTCAATGCGGGTTGGCGATTACAAACTTATAATTAGAAATTATAAGCCCAGGTTTCCTCACGATGTTTTCCTTCACCGTTTGTTAGTGGTGTCTAGATAATCTTAGAAAGTACATATAACTCGGAAAAAGTCACATTGGTACTCGCCGTTTGTAGGTTTTGAACCTGTACGTTCATGCATGAGAAGCGGGCGTCATAAACCTCCGGGCCACCACGACATTCTTCTAGCCTTGCAACTGTTTAATGTTTCTATGTAGGTACAAATATACATCGATCTACTCACTCGTTATTTGAATCAGGATTGGGAGCAAGCATCCAGTTGGTGTACATCCTAACAGCATTCTCCAAGCAGTCAGGGTGTTCGAAGTGGCAGGCTGAAGCTAAAAGGTCCACTCGGTACTGCGAGGTGATGACGCTCTCATTGGGAGACACCTCCCATCCAACTTCCTTTACAGCATCGTTCAGAAGTCGAAGAACATAATGCTGAAAGAATACAATATTTATAGTATTTATATGGATATAAATGAGGAGGCTGATCAAATGGTAATCAATCCACACATCCATGAACATCCTAAACTGCAACACCAGAGGAGTTTATTAAGTTTATAGTCATTTGGGGATAAGAGATTTGAGAATTGTACATAGGGCCTTCGCCAACTTCATTCATATGAAACACAACACATGTATTGTCGCTTGTTAGAATATTACTATAGTAATTATTTTAGCTATGACTGGGAAGTGGTGTTTTACTCTAATAGTTATTTTTTTTGGTAGATTTACTACTCCCATTGATAATGTATCTCTCTATTTTGCCACATATCATAGGACAAGACCTTTCTTAAAAAAAAATTGATTTAGTCATTATGGTGAAGAGTAAAGATAAGTGCTTGAATACCTAGATCCTTATACAAATATTTACAACCTTTGAACAAATACCAATCTTGTTGTGACTCAAACAAAATAAGTGCCTACGTAGTTTGATATGATCACAATCGGATTATAAGATTACGCACCGACATTGATCACAGTTTATCATGACTACATTAATGTACTGGAAAATATTCCAACTTAATTCATTTTCGATACAACTAACGCCATCTGTTGGTGGTTTTATAGAATGAATTGGTATTTAGCTTGTTTACCAGAGTTTTTATGCAAATCTCAGCCCAAATTCTGTAGTTAAAAAGTAGGTAATATACTAATTACTGGTTTAAGATCGATTTTCAACAGAAACTCGATACAACTAATGTCAAAAATCGATATAATATATCCGCAAATTTTGGTTTAATATTGGGTATAAATTTCGACCGTTAGTTCAATTCTGAATCATTTAAATCAAGATTGAAATTAAGAACGAACTAAGAACAAGTAGCTACTGCTGCGCGCCTATTGATTGTAACCGTGATATTTTAGCCTGATTAATGCTACCCAAAACAAAAACAAAATTTCAAATCGCAACAGTAGTTCTTGAGATAGAGCGTTAAAACAAACTTTTCAGTTTTACATCATAAAGTATAAGATAACTGATTTGTTAAATGATTACACGGTTCCTGCGGTGGCTGGGCAACTGGCTGCCGTGCAACGTGTCCGATTCCCGCATGGAACAATACTTAGTGTAATACACAAATTGTTGTTCCGGGCCTGGGTGTCATGAGTATGTGAATTTGTATGTTTGTAAATGCACCCAAGACACGGGAGCAAATCCAAGTATGCCCCAACGTTATTTTAAAAAAAACTCCGTAGATTAAGTTTAAAATTATTGTTATTTAAAGTTTATTTTCTATAAGGAATCATAATCATAAGTCAATATAAGTGCAATGGGGAATTATTATTAATTCTTAGCTAAGTAGCACATAGGTATAGGTACTAAATCCTACTTGATACTTGATTATATTATACAAGTGTTATTTAAATATGTCAAACTTGATCAATTAAAATATTTCCTTTAAGACGCATAATTATCGAACTATAATCCGATAACTTGTAAAATGCACTGTTATAAACAAAATTTGATAACGATGAAAAAAACAACAAATAATTAGGTACAATTACTTCAAATAAATTTCTACATAAATTAAGTTACTTGATATCTTTATTGTTTTCCTACACAGTGCAAATGGCAGCTAAGCCCAGTTTTGATCCGAGATAATCTGAGTCCGGTTAGCAACAGTTAAAATATTTACACCGGTACATATAGATAATAGATTTTCCTATTTTTAATACCGGCAGTGCATTATTAAGTTTTACTGTACCTATAATAATATCTCTAGATACTATTTTTTTTATATTACACTTATCTGGGGGCACACCAAGGAAACACTGCCGTCCCATCCTTTACTGAACCATTTTGCCGCATTTTCAGGCCCCTATTTAAGAACCTCTGAATAAGACCAGAACGAAAAATGTTCACTATCAACACTCATGATCATCAAAATAGAACTAGTACTTCCCGTAAACTCAGAGAGCTGTAATTTGGTACAGAGTTAGGGTTTAAAGGGAAAACTATAAAAACCACTAAAAATATCGGTACTTCTTTTACATTAATGGGTATAACGAAATAATTATCGGTTACAGGCTAAGTCGGTCATGGAATTAACAAAAACTTTAATTAATCTTCTTCTAACCTGTTGATAATCGAAACTAGCTACTAATTTTTTTTTTTTTTAAGGTGTGAAAGTCATCGAATGACTGCTCCCGCCTGGGTGAGGCGGAAGGGAGTGTCAGACTCTTACTGACTAAAAACCACCCCGTTCCTTCTCCTGCACGTCGAGCCGGAGCCCCGGTTACCCGTTAGGTTCTCCGCGACTCCGAATCGGCATCGGCCCTATTGGGCCCCATCTGTGGTGGTCTGATGGCTCTTTGAGGCGCGCGCGGAACGCGACGCGCCGTACGCTCGGGTCTGTTTCTGGTCGGACGGGGAGCCACCCATGCTCGCCGTCCGCAGGCCCGCGCTTACGGTGGCCGGAGATCGTCCCGCGATCCCCGACGCCCGGTGTGTCCTTCGCGATGGCTGGGTCGCGAGGAGGCAGCGCTTCGCTGCCTCACGCGTCCCGCCTCCTCCTTAGCCAGCATGACTGCTTCGCAAAAGGAGGAGACGGCATCCCAGTCCCCCTCGCTCCGCATCATGGCCTGCACTAGGCCCGGACGCGAGAGGTCTCCATCGCCGATCACTTCCCTGAGGGCACGGCGGTGCTCAGCCCACGCAGGGCATTCCGCAACAGTGTGTTCCACCGTGTCCTCAGGGTGGTCCTCGCAGTGATGACACCCGGGCGTTTCCTCCCGCCCCATCAGACACAGGTACCTCCCGAAACTTCCATGTCCGGTGAGGACCTGCGTCAGGCGGTAGGTGAGGACGCCGTAGCGTCTCTCAAGCCACTCCGCAAAGAGGGGACTTACCGCTGCAATGGCAGCGAGCCCAACTAGCTACTAATAGGTATTCACTTTCTCGATTATTAAGTAATTTTTGTAACCAATTAGCAATTACGATATATGAAGGAAACCACAGAGTCGTATTATACTGAGGGTAAACTAGACAACTCCTTAGGGCGCCAGGTTACGACGGGGCGCCGTGTTGTGAGACAAACGTTCTCGAGAACGTCATGTTCTAAAAAAATAGAGCCGCCTATGAGATGTATGCCTAGAACGCCCTCTAATTTTTATCCACCTCTAGGCAACAGTGCGCATTCAACGTAGTTTAGCATGTTGAAAAATTGCATAGTGGAATGAAATCAAGCATAAAGTTTCGAAACCTGGAGCTAGTCTGTTGTTATGTGTACCAATCGATATTCTAATTTATGAAATGCACTGCTAAAGGTTGAGGTTTGGAAATTAAGTATAAGACGACTGAACTGATTGGGAGTTTATTTGCGACTGGTCTTAATACTAAGTTTATGGGCGCAGCCACGTAGTACCTTATACAAACTTCCACGTTTGCTTAGCATGCACTTTGTGTCCCTACATTACGATTGTGACTTTTCCAAGTTATTATATTATTATATTGCAAGTACTTTCTAAGATTTTAGACATCATTATGTAAATACCTAAAGGAAAATAGATCATGAGGAAAGTAACATACTTTTTAAATAATTTCTGTTGTCATATGATGACTGGCAGTACCTATGTCAAGATGATTCATAACATCCGGAAAAATGTGAATAATTAATTTATCGTAATTAAGATATGTATCACATTTTTTAAGAATTTATTGACTTTAGCGGAACTGAAGGATTAGTAGTAACAATTTCAGGACTATTAAAACTATTAACTCTAACATTATCTTATCATAGTTAATACCGGTTTCTCAACAATGACAACTATAAAATTTATTTTTGAAATCTTACTATTGCCACAGGTATTAAGACAATAAAGACATGACATGTACACCTTTGCCTACCCTTCAGGGATAAAAGGCGTGTTATGCAATTGATCAATGAAAATAAAATCTATTTTGTTCTATCAGGTACCATTCAATCGTTGTTTCACGCAGGTTTTGCTTGAGGTCATTTCGATGTATCACTGCGGTCAAGCCATCCCATTTGTGCCGAAGCATGGCTCTCCTGTGCTAATAAGTCCCATAATGAATTCAGAAACAAAAAATGGTCAATTCGACGAAGTCGGTTGAGCAAGCATTTGTTTTCTACATCAAATTAATGTAGGTATATCATTAATAAGTAGGTAAGAAGCATATCGACTTACAACCATGCGTATCTTTTGATATCCTTAATCAATGTTAGTCTAATTTTTTTATCGTTATCATAACCGATACAATCTAGAATTATTCATTGTAATAATCTTTATTGAGTACATGAAATATCATCCAGTTTTTGTAGTTCAACGATTATCTTACACTAATTTACGGAGTCATATCAAACACTGTATATCTTTGACGTCTGTAGATAAATTTTAGTGCAATTAGCTTTGTAGCTTTTTGAACCAATTGATGTATAAGAAAGTTTCATTATTTTTATAGAAAAACGGGCAGGGCAAACAAAAAGATGAACACGGTGGTATCCTGGTGATTAGCGTACAGGTGCAGCGCCACTCATTTTGCCTTGCCGACCTTTGAGGAAGAACTACACTGTGTTTTGGCTAAACCAGAGGTTTCCTTGTTTGGACAGTCTCAGAATCAGTATAAATACAAATCTGTACAATGTATAAGTAATAATTTGGTATGACAAAGTCTTCTCTTCTTCTTTCTCTTAAGTTTTACGTTTATTAGATAAATCAGCCTATCGAATTATGTACTTACTTAAAAAAAAATGATACATTTGTCAATCAATAAACTACACAACTAAATACAAAATGAATATGACGTGAAAGTTATGCATATTGAAACGTATAAAATAATATATTTTTAGTATCAGTAACGCCATCTATTGTTAATCCTCTTAATTTATTTTTTTAATTCATATTGAAATTGGTACTACTTACGCCATCTCTTTTTTATTTGAATGAACTTTTTTGCAATTCCTAATAAAGCTAATAGGAATGCCGTAAACTAAATAATACGTAAAATAAAATAATAATGTTTCATGGCTTTCTAACAGTTTTATGAGGTATCTTGACAAGTTTAAAATCACTCTAATAATGAACTTCTGTCTCTTGTGTAATCCGTCTTTAATAATAAAAATATAATAAGTATCTACATAGAGGTAAAAAAATATTATTGTACTTACCCCATACTCCAAATAGTGAGCTCCTTTCGACAGCATTGTGTCTATGTATCCAAGAGCTGAGAGTCCAGCTTTCCATGGCACATAGCTTCTCTCGTGAGCGAGGTAGCTGGTAACATCCAATGCTGTTCTATAGTCCAGTCGACCTGTTAGTGCCAGATTCATGGCATCATCCACCAATTGAGCTCTGTTGATGATATGTATCTCTTGGAATCGAGCTGGATCCTTAAGGACCTTGATTACAAGCTTCCAGTTTTGTAAATCGTAGTTTACACGGTAGAAACCTGAAAATGAATTTAGATAAACGATCATTTGTTGTTAGTCATTCAATTGCAAGTGGGAGAATTTCTGTTATGGATTCTGGGATCTTGTTTTAGTATGGAATTAAAAATTGAGTTAAAACTTCAGTTTGTAAATGTTGATTGCTAAGTTATTGCATAACAACATGGTAGTCAAAATTCCAAAATTAAGAGATAGCACTTACACACTCGATTAACTTTGCAGTATCTTCGATAACAACAATATAATCACAATGAAAAATGCAAATTATACTGCAGTAGATAAGTATCATATTTAAGAAACGTGATCAATTTTTTAAGGGAGTTCTATCTTGTTTATACTAGTTTCGATAATTGTGATAAATATCTTAATTCGAATAATGCGTAACACTTACGTACGCAAATCTAGAGCTCAAAGTATAGTTTATAATAATTAAAGCATATAAGCTGGTTTAAATTCATATTAGACTTCGACTCGAATTGTTCTATAAAATTGAGCACTGTAATTGAAGCATGTGCCTCTAACTTTTCGTTAAGCGTACATTTTTGGGGCCCAAATGAGTCGCACTGGGACACAAGTTAAACTGCCTATTAACCTCTTGTCTGTCGGTATATGACACATAAAAGAAAACCACATTGGGTCTCGCGTAGATCTGCATTCTAAGACTTCACAGGTTATTTGATGCAAGGAATATTTTTTCCTTCCAAAATCCATGTTCTATTGATAATAGATTTAATTGAACATACCAGTTTGCTGCACATTGGCTATGAACCAATCTTCGGGTCTCATCGTAATATTGGTGACAGTCAAAGACTTTTCTCCCTTCAGCCATAGTTTCGGTTGTGTAGTTTCAAAATCTTTCTCCGAAGCTGTGGTGTAGGACACCGGGATCCACCATATTGGAGACTTTTGAGTCTCGAATGTGTCGTTAATTAAAACGAAACGTTCCTGTAAATAAACATACATATTAAATTAAATGGCTGCTGATGTTGATTCTATTTAATCATCATCAGTTTGGAAAAGAAATAATTTATACAGCGCTCTCATTTGTTAAGTTATTGAGTTAATAAAAATGTCGATTTAGATTTCTTTCTCTTGTTTTGAAATTAATAATAACAAGGATCCTGAAATTATACCCGATGGTAAGATGTCACGTACCCAATGCTCATGGTAGTACTTTCATTGATTTTATAAATAACAGTTGTTTTATGGAAAACGAATGAACCTGCAAACAGATCCGCTAGTCATCAAGCAATCAGGATCATCCACGACACGAGACCATAGAATAGCACAAGGCTTTCAGTTATATATAAATATTGGAAGAATTTCCCAGTTCATTGCCTAATGTTTCCTTTTAATTTACGTTGTGCCCCTAAAACTCATTGTGTAAAATCTAATATAAAGGAAAGTCGTGTTAGTTACACTATTTATAACTCAAGACCGGCTAAGATCGATTTGGATGAAAGTTAGTGACCACCCGGTAAAACCAATTTTCATCGGGAAGATCACGTACGGGAACGGGACAAACCGGGATTTTGCTCAAGAAGTCCCCGGCAGAAGTTAATGGCAAAGTATTGCATTATATTAATTAACATCTTATTATTATTATTAATCATACCTACATATGAAAATGCCTACTACTCAAATGACGTTTGCACAAATTCGTAAATTTACTAATCATGGTTGGAATCGCGTCTAGCCATATAATTATTTGATAGCAGCCATGATAATTTACATTTCTAGACTCTTCAAGGACAATATAACAATTATTATACCCAATATCTTTGGCTAGCTTAAATACTTGATTATAAGAACTTAGTTTCATATAAACTGCAGTTGTATTTGTTTGTACTTTGAATAATATATATCGTATAATTATGTGTTGTGGATGCGATATATATGCGTGACATATTGATAGGATATATTATAAATTAACTACTACTACTACCTTAGTTAGACCACAATCTTAAAATCATCTTTCGTATAAATATAACGCACGAAACTTAACTTTTGAAATTTTTATCAAAGGCATAATAATATCTGCTTGATTTTTCGATATCGAACTGTAAATGCAAACAACGAAAAAAATCTTAAATATTGTGGGCTATTTTGAAGTATCCACAATGTATAAACTCTTTAATGTGATATATATAGCAGATAAATACATTACAGAGGAGCAAAAAGGTTGAAAAATGAGAATAGGGAAGAATCTCATTTGTCTGAAAATTATATTATTTAAGTACTTAAGTACTCTGCTCTATTTCGTAAACACTCTAAAACCAGTGAAGATTGTTTTATTTTTGACGTGACAACGTCTTATAAATTAGTTTGCCGGGTGACACTTCAAGAAACTGCGTTACGCTCCGCTCACGTTATGCGCTCACAATGTGAGCGAGTGAGAGGCACGCGTCCCTTCCACTCGGGCATGGTTAGCCCGCCTAAGAGCGAGAGAGACAGACATAAAAAGTGAAAGGCACGCGTCCCTTCCACTCGAGCACAGTTAGCCCGCCTAAGAGCGAGAGAGACAGAGCGAGAGAGAGAGAGAGAGTGAGAGAGATAGGCATACACATCTTTGTATAAATAAATGTTTTAAATTGCTACTATTATTTCATCCTTCTTCCTACTATACGAATGAATATTCACATTAAAATTATTTTACCACTCAAAGTCGTTGTCACGTAAAACTTTCGCCCGTATACCGACTTTACAGGCAACTAATTTTATTGAACAAATGGGCAAACGAAGCAATCGCAGCCACCCATGCACATCCGAAACATCAGAGGTGTTACAAATACGATACAACCGTTTGGGGATTTGAAAATTGGGGAGGGGGGTAATTATGGGTGCAAATCATGCAGGATCCATTTCAAGTGAACACTGGAAAATACGTGTTAAATCACTTCATACACCAAACGACAACAGGTTTTTACAGAATATCAATAAATTGTAATCTTATTATTACTACATTCTGATAGATGAGTATCAAACGTATTTTCCAAGAACAAATGTTATTGAATTTTTATATTCATATCCTCTTTCGAAACGTAAGTACGTATCCATTTCGTAGTAATGGGAATGAAAAAAATGAGGTATGAAATGCTCTATTCCATTTTTAATATTGAATATAAAGAGCATGGGTCTCGGGTTCGATTCCCGGGTCGGGCAAAGTATTACTGGGTTTAAAAAAAAACTCTCAGTAGAAGCACGGAGTCTGGAATTGTGCCCGGTATATGGCAATAGGCTCACCCCCTATTACATGGGACTCATAACATAAATAGTGAAAAGTGGGTGTTACATTGTACAGTGACATAATGTGCAGCTCTGCCTACCCCTTCGGGGATAAAAGGCGTGATGTTATGTTATGTATAAAGAGCATGGTAACAACTTGTATATTAACGAAAAACAAGTGCGACACGTTGGTTGCCAGTTTCGTGAGTTAGGCTCAATCCACGGATAATGTGTATTATGGATTCTGGAATTGTGCTGTTATATGATATACGTTCATCCCTGACTACACGGAACTTAAAAATAGATGATGGGATTTACATTAATTTAATATATACCCACACCTATGCCCACATTTTTCGGGCTTTATAAGTCGTCACGTTACGTTATGTAAACTAAGACACGTGATCTTAGCACGTCACGTGAATATCAAGATTAGAAATTTATTAGGGTAGGTATTGCACTACATTAATCTCCTATATTATTACCTACTAACATAAAGAGTTATACAAATTAATAAATCAAATCTTAGATTAGTTGATAATGATTACTAAAAGACGGTTACTGTAATCTGATAACATTAATTTGTCAACAAAATATCAGTATTAAACACTATCTCGATTAAATTCCGTTTATGAATATTGATATAGGTAAACTAATTATCTTCTTAGGCACGAGGACAATATAAATGTTTTATTAAAGCCACGCGCCTCGATGTTATTATCGCTAGGAGTTTATTACTTAAATTGTGTATACTAGCGACATCTAATGATCGTCGTCAAGAACTACGTTTGAGTTTTAATATTATTTCAAGAGATGGCGCTGTTGATGAAGTGTTGTTTAGTAGTTTACTACGTAACACTACCTATTGAGTCTAGTCCTATTTTAAAATTAGAAACACAAATCATTAGGTAGTCAGTCTAGGGCCTACTGGTAGCAGCAGCAGTAAAATGACTAAGATACTAACCTTAATGCCTTGTTCGCACTATACTAATATTTTAGTCGAGCAGCGAGTGATTAGTATATCCTTCTCGCTTCTGTCGCAAAATCAAAGCGAGAGAGAGTTACTAAATTCGTATAGTGCGAACATAAGACTTCCAATGGCATCGAGGACAGCTGTTTATTAATAGGAGTACGTGAACATTTTCACACAAGCCGATAAAATATGAATATTATTAACAGTTATCACAGAGATTTTCCTTTAACAATTTCTTACCTAGGTTTCTGGGTCACTTACTAATATAAAAGCCATACTAACCTGTTTGAACAACAAGCTGCCGTTCTCGTAGTCTCTTGTTACAGTGAGGACTGGGAAACCAGTTTGAAGGGTCCAAGAGTCCATGACCACAGCGACATCTGCATCAAAGTCCCCAGTCTTCCGCGCTGCACTAGTGAGAGCACTCCAAAGGTCCCTTTGTTCAGCATTGCCATACATTTTGGAATTGAGATAATTCGTTACTCCGGCGTTGAAGACATCGCTTTTTAACACGTGGTTCAACATTCGAAGTAGTGCTGATCCTGTATGAAAATATTTAGGTTTTTTAGATAGAAATGTTGCTTCTCTCTTTGAGATATTTTTTTGAGAATAGAATATTCCGCTTGAAGTCATTATTTACAGTTTTTATTGCCAAATTAATTACATTTGCAAATTCTGCAATAAGTGTTCGGTCTGGATTTAAGTCTAATTAACAGCAATAAGCTCGTATTACAGAAATCTAAAAGGGTATAAATTCTATGTAAAAGAATAACTTCTGAAAATCTTTTGACTTGACTTCAATATGTTGATCAATATATTTCTTTACTCCGAAATGTAGTTTCACAAAAGAATCCTCATTACCTTTCCCATAAGAAATTTTGTCGAAGATAGCATCAGCTTCCTCAGAAGCACTAACTTCCACTGACAGTTGGTGTGAGGAGTTAAGAGCATCCAATTGGAACACGTTGTGGACTATGTCTAGGACACACAGTTCTGTAATGTTCCAGGATTTCTCCACCTTCAACAAATAATAAGAGAAGACTAGAATTAGTAAAATGAAAATAAAATACATGAATTGAAAAAAAAACAGTCATGGAGTTTTAACTTTATATTTTACTATCATTGCACTAATGGCGACGTGTCACCGCGACCTGCGTACAGTGCTCATGAAGAAGCTCAAAGCTAATAGAGCTTTTCTCATTATTTCACGTAAGTAAACCGGTGCTTTAATAAATTTAGTATGTCTCACGATATATTTTTATACATATAGTGAAAACATAATAAAAAAACCTTCAAAAATACAGACAGACACGAAAAAGAGAAAAACCTTGATTTCTTTTTTAAAACAAAACTATGAAATAGATGTTACGTACAGCATTAACAGCAACGTACTCGACGTACGTAGCAAAGCCTTCGTTGAGCCACAGGTCACGCCACCAAGTTGGAGTGACCAGGTTGCCGAACCACTGGTGAGCGATCTCGTGGGCGACCACAGTCGCCACGTGTACCCTGTCTGTACTCGCTGAGACGCCTTCCTCATATAGCATTGATATTTCCCTGAAAATTGTACATTCAATTTTCTATAAATTAGAGTTCCAAGTATCTACATTAATGAAAGATACCTCTGTCAACAAGAAAAGAGATCAAAAACCGAGTTCATAAGTCCAGGTTATAGAGGCTGAACAAGTCGAGCACTTAGATTCACTGCTAATACGGACAGACAATTCAATTTTCACATTTCAAAAGTGTCCAATCAAGGATTAGTTTGTAATAAATACTTTGACTTTGCCTTTGATGGGACTGTCTATGGAAATGATTATATAGTCCAAGCCAGTTAAACATAAAATTTGTTTACTTCAAATGAATTTTAGGTAGTCGTTTGTCAAAAATAAAATATTTTAACATAACATCACGCCTTTTATCCCCGAACAGGTAGGCAGAGGTGCACACAGAAGTGACATCCACTTTTCACTATTTATTTTTTCATTTCCAGACTACCGAGTTTTTTTTTAAATCCAAGTAATACTTTGCCCGACCCGGGAATCGAACCCGAGACCCCTTGCCCGGCAATCACACTTGCGACTACTCGGCCAACGAGGCAGTCAAGCAACGATAAAATATTTTACATTTTACAAAATCTAGTTCAATAACGTATAATATTATATGCATTGTATATTATAAAGGTAACAAACAGATTTATTTAAATCGAATACAAACAAATTACAATATTAAGCAACGATTCACAACAATACAGCTACTAATTTGTCGAAACAAAACAAATGAATGCGTTCATTCATTTAAAACGAGAGACACTTTATTCCAAAATCTCGGGACGTTACAATAAGCTCAAAGGGATCCCGCACCCCACAAAATAGGGATGATAGATGGTCGTCCCCAACCGATAATGAAGTGTTACGATTCATTCATCCATCAAAAGGCTCACCCCTCAACTGATTTTACGGAGCTCATGTTATTTACCGGTACTGGTTTAGTTTCATTGCTTTAGGGTCTTGACGAGTTTATCGATTTTGTTATCCTTCAACCACATAGAGGGTCAGTGATATCTCAAATATTTTGTCACTAATTACTTTAATAAAGTCGCCAGTTTAATTAAGTTTTAATAAGGACACCATGTTTTTAATAAGCACAGGGGTAGGCAGAAAACGCGCACTATTTTTCTTTCGTGCAACCCCGAAGTTTACTGAGCCTGCTGCTGCTGACCATAGGTCTTTCCCAATGACTCCCAAATCGAAAGTATAAATTGCAAAAGCATTGTAACGTTTTCTGAAATAACATTGTTGTATGAAGTAACAACGTAGTCCTCAAATACGTACATACATCCTACTATAATTAATAATACTTTTTTTTTTTTTAAGGGGGGAAAATAATCGAATGACTGCTCCCGCCTGGGTCAGGCGGAAGGGAGTGTCAGACTCTTACTGACTAAAAACCACCCCGTTCCTTCTCCTGCACGTCGAGCCGGAGCCCCGGTTACCCGTTAGGTTCTCCGCGACTACTATATAATAATACTAGCGACCCGCCTCGGCTTCGCAACGGTGCAAAATGCATGTGTTATATATGTGTTTGTATGTATAAACCCTCCTTAAGAATCACTTTATCTTTAAAAAAAACCTCATCAAAAACCATTTTAGTTTTAAAGATCTAAGCATACGTACATAGCGACAGACAGACGGCAGATAGCAACTTTATTTTATACTATGTAGTGATTATAAATGTGAAAGTTTGTATATTTGCGGACAAAGCCGCTAATAAAAGCTAGTACAATTTGTTTTAATTAAATCTATAATATTTAGTCATGTTCTGATTCGCTTTTTATCCGGAGATTAGTATATTTTGTAGATTACCGCGCGCTTTATGCACAGATAAGTTATTTCTTTTGTAGATAATCGCATACGTAGCTCTAACGCAGTTACTGGGTCATAATTATACAATTTAAACTTATTGAGCCCTTTTTTCCGAGGATTACTGAAATAAAAAATGTATACTTGTTGGTAAAAAGTAACAATTACGAGTATTTTTCAGCAAACAATATATTTCCTTAGCAACAGCTAAAATAAAGCCGTTGCTAATTGGTTCATGATTCATTTTAGAAAACCCACTTAAAGGAACTTAAAATCTTAATAATTGAAGGACAAGATTAACATATTAACTAATTAATATATTCTTGTTTACCACAGTTTTCGGTAATCGGAAAATTGATTGATAATTAAGTCTCTACTCATTATCAAAGAAAGTAATTAAGTCTGTTGACAAATACGATTTTTGTTAATACGATTCTTTTATAATCAAATGTTGAAACCTGTCCTTATGTTTTTTATATTTATAAATTCAGTAGCTGAGCCCCTATAAGTATAAAATCTTATTATTATCTTTTAAATCAATATGGATTTTTTTGTTACTTCTTATCCCCTCTAATCTCCTATCCTATCTTCAGATAGATTAAAATATAATTAAAATAATTACTTTGACATAACATATCGTACTTTATACATTCTGATGGACTATGCATTTTGTCTTTTGATTTCTTCACCTTTGTCTGCAAATCACTAATCCAACACAGTAACAAATGAGTCCCTAACTCTTTAGATTAAAAACAGGTTCTCCTATTTGCTTAGATTTGCACTTACCTAAAAGTAAGTAACCCCCAATTCTCCATGGCACCATTTTTGAAGTCCGGTAACGCGATCATATCGATTTTTGGCAAAGGAAACTTAATTTTGTAATATTCTTCCAAATACTTAAGTATTTTAGGGCCTATTTCCAGAGCGAAAGCTGCGGACTGTACCGCTTCACTTCGGGCCCAGACGGAGAACTTATTATTGGTCATATTCTTGAAGTCGGTGACAGTAAATGCTACCAGGTACGTAGACATTGGTAATGACTCCGCATAATGATCCCATGTGTAGTCTGGTAGAATTTCGCTGGAAGAAGAATTGAATAATAGTTAATAGTTAGCACACGAAGTTTTAAAGAGTTGTACCTAGTAGGTACTCGGATCAAAACTTCGTGTTGAAGGGTTAATCTAAGTAACTACGTGGACAAAGACGATATTGAAAGCTATGAAAGAGAGATATGAAAAATATTTCATCAAATAAATCAAACAGCAAAGGGTTTTATAACATTTTAGCCAAGTTGAAAAAATTATTCCAATAATTCTGTAATATTTCAAACATTTCTTTAAAGATTGCATAGGTAATAAATTCTAGAATATTTATAATGCTCTGTACAGTTATAGCTTGGGTCAATATAAAATATTCACACTTCAATAGCTTCGGTTTTTTAAACATAAATTTTGATTACGTCAATATTTCACGATTACGCAATCAAAAATTCATCCACAAACAGTCGGCTTTGTTTAATTCCCTTGTGTTGGACAGAATTTGCATTTTTGATTTCATATTTATTTTTTATAAAATAACAAGCTGTTGGAAATGCAATCGTTATTTATAATAAAAACATTTAAACTAGGATTCAAGTACTGACTATACATAACATTTTTTTATGGGGTAAGCCGGTAAACGATCAGACGGATCAGCTGATGGTGAGCAATCGGCGTCGCCCATGGCCACCCGGAACACCAGAAGTATTACAAGTGCGAATTTGAGGATTGTTGGGATTCAGAGATTGGGGAGATTGGGGAGGGGAGGGGAGGACAATTGGGCCTGCGGTAATCTCACTCACACAACGAAACAGAACGCAAGTGTTGTTTTATGTCTGTAAGGCCGTGGTATCACTCCGGTCGAGCCGGCCCATTCGTGGCTCTCCCAACTTAATAAGTTTGAAATATTCTGAGTAATAAATCTATCATTATTTAAAGTATACTATAAGTATTCGTTTCTGCTATAGGTACTAAAGCATACCCTAAAAAGTGCTGTGTGCTACCTCTTTATTTTCACATATTGACATATTTCCTCAAGTTCTTTAGAAATGCAATCCGTAGGTAACATTAAAATTTGAAGAAAATATCGTCAACCACGTTATTGGAAAATTGGCACAAACGACGTACTTAATAGTTGTATTAAGTACGTCGTTTGGGCCAATTTTATATCACATAAAATACGAAAACGAAGTCGCAAACTTACTGCGGACTATGTCTAACAATATTCATGTTAGAAAGAGACGTCATGTTGTTTGGCCTTGCGATGCTGATGGTGAACCTTGCTTTTAGAGCTGGCTCGTCCCAGCATGGAAACGCACGGCGGGCGTCCATCGCCTGGAACTGAGTTACTGCTATCCATCTGTAAGAAATCGTTTAATGTATTTTGTACTTTATAATTTTAAGAACAAGGCCACAAATTATTTAGCCTTAGATACCCAATGATGTATGTGACCATTGAAACCGAAGAGGTCAGCTTAAATCAACCGACTCCATACTGTCAAATTCCTGTATTCGATTTTCAACTTTAATAATATGCGGTTAGAAATCCAACGAAAAAAAATTTGACAGATCGACGAAGGTCAAACTGCTGGTAGGTACTGTACAATATTTTCTAATGACACCTAATAAACCTGATTTTATTTAAAAAAATCTTTAAAATTAATAATTTAAAATTACGTTTGGTGCAGCGGCTTGGTAACCAGCTGCCGTGCGACGTGTCGCGGGTTCGATTCCCGCACGGAGCAACTCTTTGTGTGATCCAAAAAGTTTTCGAGTCTGGGTGTCATGTGTAAGTGAACTTGTATGTTTGTAAACGCACCCACGACACAGATTAAAATCCTAGTGACGGGTTAAAAAAAATTTAGGTCAGAATAAAAATTAAATCAATTCCTTATAGTATCCCAGTGACCGTGGCAGTCAAATTTCGCTAACAATGAGCAAGGAAAGCAATTAAGACATTATTGTTCGTAGGGACACACTAAAGTATCATTTTATTGCTGTTAATCTACAGTTTGTATTCAATGCGGCGTTCTTGTATTCATAGAACGATCTGAGATGTCTCCACGTGACTTGGACCGTGTACTTTAAACACGACCGTAGGATTTGTTAGTTATAATAACTTTGTAAATATATTTTAGAGACGTATCGAGTGTTTAAAGTGATGGGTATTTTGATTTTTGTTAGAGTATGGTGTTTTGAGCGTTAAGATTGTTTATTAAGATTTAAAAAATGACTCGACTCCTAAATACTACACTTTTAATTAGACTTTTATCTTGTATTCCATTTGATATTATTTTTTTATTTATTTAACACTTTATGTACAACTGTATACAATGGCGGACTTAATGCCGAATGCCGAATTTTATTGTAGGTTAATTATATTTTTTAATTCTACGAATGACATGTCAAGTGTGCTCCTCTCCAAAACTTATATTGTTGTGACCGACAGGGTTCACATTGCGTCCTTATTATGTTTACCACCTAAGTAATACATGTGAAAAGCAATAAAGTATTGAGTATTGAGCTGTCAATGATTTGTAGAAAATGAGTGTTGTTTTTTACTAACTTCAAGAAAAGGAGGTTTTCATATACATGTGTATGTTTGTGCACGATTATCTCGCCATTGACTGAACCGATTTTCTGAAAAGTATTTATTACATTTAGGAGAAGGTTTTTTTACATAAGTACAGATACAGACGACAGATTGAAATCGCACACAACAATCATAATTATAAATAGTGAGCGAACCTGAAGTCCAATTACTGCTGTACATAATCCATTTATATCAAATTACATAAACAATTCCATTTTTATGTAATAAATATTGTTCTATTTTTGAAAACTAAAAATTACTAAAAAGCAACCATACATGCAAACAACAATGAAACATAATTATTATGTTAAAAATAGCAAACAAAATGTGTGATCATCATCATTATCATCAACAACAAAAAGATCTCGAGAGATTCCACTACACTATGGGCCTGCTCTCTTCTTTGGCATTTCACTCTTGGTCGGTCGAGAGAGGTCGTAGTCACGGTGATGTGGCCGTATTTGTATTAAAGGAGCGGCTAGCTTCACTGACAGACAGACGGACGGACAATTTGATTTTTGACGTTTCAAAAGTGCCTAATTAAGGATTAATTGAAATAAATGCTTTGACTTTAACTTTGGCTTTGAGGCGATACTGCTTTCTTCACGATCTCCCACCATCTCTCCCTGTTTGTGTAGTGTCTGGCACAGTCTGACACTAGATTTCCTGTTACCGTTTGACTTGATCAGTCCAGCAAACTACCTTATGATCTGGTTCCCTCTACTGTCCCCTGAAGGACCAGTCGCTCTATGAAGTTGTTACGCGACGAGAGACATGGCCATAGTATTGCAGTATGCGCGTCTGCACTAAGGTTGACATACGCTTTGTGATCGCCTCTACAAAAGCCATAATTTCCTCTGTACAAGAGGTTAGTCTACAAGGGTCAGAGTTAGTCTATAAGGGTTTATCATCAACAGCCTACAAGAGCTCACACACAGAGCAAAGCCTCTTCTCACACGGAAGGTTCGAGCATTAATCTCCACGCTTGCTCATTGCGGGTTGGCAATTTCAAACTTAACATAACATAACATCACGCCTTTTATCCCCTGGAGAGGTAGGCAGAGGTGCACATTACGGCACTTAATGCTACTGTATAATGTAACACCCACTTTTCACTATTTACCTCTATATTATGAGTCCTATGTAATAGGGGGTGAGCCTATTGCCGTATACCTGACACAATTCCAGACTCCGTGTTACTACTGAGGATTTTTTTTAAATGCCTATTATAATTTGCCCGTCCCTAGAAAATAATTAGTCGGGCCCTAAAATCGAACCCGAGACCCCTTGCCTAGCAACCGCATTTGCGACCACTCGTCCATCGAGGCAGTCTTTTTTTGTCGCAAAGAAACTTTCACATTATAATATTAGTGTGATTGTTGAGGAATTAGTATTTACGTGTCTAATCTAATTTCTATGATATGACTTTTCTCTATAGAGATAATTGCTAAAATGTATATAGGCAATTTTTTGTTTGGTCCTGCCATTATTAACACGTGAAACGCTAGGGGTCACCAGTGACCGGCGTTAGCGGAGGATTTACCTTCAACAGTTCATATTCATATTCATTTATTTGCGTACCATAAAGTGAATAAGATGTTACAATAGGCTTAAAGCTAAGTACATTTATGGACCCTGTAAGGGCACAGCAATATTTTTTAAGATAAAGCTTTTTTTAAAGAGATTATCCAAAAATAGACCTAACATATTCTAGTAAAACAAAATAAAATAATTAAAATTAAAAATTAAAAATAGTGTTTTATTGGCAGCCAAAGTCTTAACCTGATTTATACAGCAACCTTACATGATCATGTATCTAATCTCGAATACAATTGGCATAATTTCTTTTAGGTAATTTCCTGTAGGCACCGTAACATACAAACATACATACGCAATGAACTAGACGTATGTACTACTAAACTATAGACCTAATTCAGATGGATTAACACTACTTGAAAATACTAAGTCACGAGTTATAAAAACGACACGTTCGTAAAGGGACTGGCAGAAGTGAGCACAGAATTATCATAATTACCTATTTACCTATGATGGTCCATTGGTAGACGATAGATCACCATTATGTACCTACTATAGTGAAGAAGAAGGCAGGAGTGTAAAAGCACGCAAAGTAATTATAGAGACCTTGTTCTACCCTTAATGTATATATGTTCACAAATCATTTACACATCGATCGTGCTTAAATACATAGATGTATAACTTCACGCCTGTCTCCCATGAAGGTAGGCAAAGACTATGCAACGCCAATTGCTACGATTCCTACATACCTTTTCGCTTCATCAGTCATCATCTTTTCATGCATGCTCGTCCGTTAAGGGTAGGTACTTTTAATTTGTGATCAAAGTATGTTTTTATTCATTATTTATTTTTATTATCTATGGTTTTAGGGACTTTTCGTTTGGGAATATGTCAGTTCCGTTAGGACATATTTTGTAACATATTATCTAACATACTTAATTAACTAAATTGGTCAAAGTATCACTGATGCATGAAGATCTTATATAGGGCAATGGCTGCAGACGAAGTGGGATTCGCTATAATAGACGTAAAACAACCAACATCTAACGCATTCAAGTTTTTATTCTTCGAATACCATTGGAGTTCCCGAGCCAAGATACCGATGTGGTCTTACATCGGTATTTCAGCGGTACAGCATGACTCAAACAAGTTTGAACTTGCTTTCTCTATGCTTAGGAATAAGAACCCGAAAAACAAAGGTTCCTGAAGCTTCATATTTAGGTTCTGATTCCGATTCCAAAATAGGTACCAGAACCCCTAAATACCTGTTCTTTACCGGTTTTTTGGGATCGTTTTCAATCTCTGCTCCACACTAAAAGACCGGAGGAGATTATAGTTTTAGAAAGATTTGAATGTCAAAGTCAGAGAGCGGTGTTGCTTGGTCTGTGTTATGTATTGTCTTATAAAATGCTTTTATAACACAAATGGGTAGATTTCAGGGTAAAAAAATTAAAAATCTAATTAGTCCGTCAGTTAGATAATGAAAAAATATTAGACACGTATTTTATTATTAAATCGTGTAAATTTACAATGCTTAGAGGAAAGTACGTCACAACATGCTACATTTTATAGCACGCTGTGACGTCACACGACAATATATCGTCAAAAGAATTTAATTATGTGAGAAAAGAAAAAATACGTGTCTAATGTTTTAAAATAATCTACCAGACGGACTTTAAAATAAAATTTAGGAAACTACCCTATTGTTGAAAGAGTAAAGAAATAAAGAAAAATCCATTTATTTCACTAGTAAACGTGTCTATGTACAGATATAACAGAGACAGATTTATTATACCTGTAGATGGTGTGCGTATGTGCTAAGTGCATCAAAATGGGACCAGTTCAGGGAGTAGGAGTACTGACAATGATATTCTACTCAGCCGTTACCATATATGTTAAATGGTTCTCCATCAACCTACCTAACAGAAGGAACCTAACAACCAACCTAAACAGGAATGATTGGCTGTCAAATGAAGGAATTGGGATGATGACAGGGTATGAAAATTAAAAATATAATTAGTCCGTAAGTTAGGTAATGAAAAAATATTAGATACGTATTTTTTTATTATTTTGTCGTATAATAAAACAATATCTAGATATAATGAATCAACGTTTAGGAGTGAGAGCTAAAACGTAATTTCTACATATAAAATGTACATACATAGAAGTGACATCACGCGACATTTCCAATGGATATAAAGTATTAGTTTCTGTAAGAAAATAAAAATATTTGTCTAATGATTTAAAATAATCTACCAGACGGACATTAAAATAAAAATTAGGTATCTACCCTATTATAAAATTATTGATTTAGTAAACCATTTTAAGTTCATGTTTACCAAGGTTTGTTATCCATGCGATTATTGCATTCTGGTCGAATTAGACTATTATCAGATAATATTTTTTGATTATATATTTATCAATGTAGGTATTTAAGTCAATGCATTTTTTAATCTTTACTTATCAATCCCTTATCTTGTGAAAGTTCTGGAGAAAAAAATTGCGTAGTAGAAATATCACATCGGGCTAAGAAGGACAAATTTAATAGTGTTTCTCTAATATTGCAAATGCTAAAGTCTATGTTATTTGGCTTCCTTTCATGTAACAATGAAGCGTTTTTGTAATTTGATTTTCTGTGTGGATATTACTATCTCCGACATAGAAAGGTGTAAAGTGGTATTGGCCATGCTTGCTGGAAACTGCCTTACAAATCAAGTAATTACCTTGACTACAAGTCTTATGGATTAATATTTGCAAATTGTATTTCAGGGTATTTTCCCAAAGTATATCACGGAGTGTTTTAATCACAACTATTAAAAATGGGTATACTGCAAGCATGCAGCGATAGATACTATAGAGAGAATAATAGCCGTATTAATAATATTAATTATTATCTAATTCGACTGCCTGGTTGGCCGAGTGATTGCAATTACGACTGCTTGGTAAGGGGTTTCGGGTTCGATTTCCGAGTCGGGCAAAGTATTACTGGGTTTTAAAAAAATCTCAGTAGTAGCACGGAGTCTGGAATTGTGACCGGTATATGGCAATAGACTCACCCCCTATTACATGGGACTCATAACATAAATAGTGAAAAGTGGGTGTTACATTGTACAGTGGCATTAAGTGCCGTAATGTGCACCTCTGCCTACCCCTTCTGGGATAAAACGCGTGATGTTATGTATGTTTTTGTAATTATTGTCTAATCTATATAACGTTGGTTCAAAGTAATAATTGTTCATATAAAACAAGTATTAAAAAAAATATTTAATTTACAGTTGCAGAAATAAAATGCTGGCAGAGAAAAACAAGAGAAGAAAGGGATTGACATGAATAGAATGAGGGTGACTACAGAGATGCAGCGTGGAACGAATGAATGGGAGTAAAACATGTGTTGCACGAACCACAAATAATTTATAATTAATTGGATACACGCAGGGCACGCAAGTTTTAAAAAGAAACTGCGCCTACAGTGGTTAATATAAAATTGTATTCGTGCACAATTCAATATTTTACAAGACGACCCTTAGCTTTAATAACAGCATAAATTCTACCCGGCAAATAATGTACGAGTTGTTCACAATCCTTTGGGCCAATCGCATTCCACTCTAGTCGCAGACATTTTTCTAGCTCATTCTTTGTTGGAGCCGCATGCTTTTGAATTCTCTGTTTCAATAACGCCCAAAGATGTTCTATTGGATTCAAATCCTTGCAATGGACTGGCCAATCCAATATCTCGATGTTGTTTTCCTGCAGCCATGCCTTAGTCTTAACAGATTTATGATAAGACGTATCATCATGTTGAAATTTCACATCATCCATATTTGTATCCCCAAAAAAGGTCGAAAATGATGGCAGTAGTGCAGTCTCGAGGACGCTAATATACTTTGAAGAATTCATTCGGCCGTCAATGATGACTAATTCGCCAACTCCAGTATCGGTCATACAGCCCCAAGCAATAATACTGCTTCCACGGCATTTTGATGCTACTTGCTGCCCTTGAGTAGCAGGTGGTTTAATAACCTGAACAAAATCGAAGAGAATCAAAATATTATCCTTTAGATTTCAAACGTACTGAACTCAAATAAATTTCATTCTTGATAATTGAATATCAATAGTGCAGGTAACGCATTGGTTATGGATAAAATGTTATCTATATTTGCACTTACTTCAAATTTTGATGTTCCTGACCACACAACGTTGGTCCAATCGTATTTAACGATACTTGAATGTTTGACAGCCCATTCAAATCTAGCCCTTATAATTTTATCAGAGAATCGTTGTTTTTCTTTACCCTTATTGGGTTTAAGTGAACTTTTCGGGAACTTTCTACGAGCACGTGTCACTGGTCGCATAATTTGTAATGATAAGCACGTTTATATGGTTGCAATGTTTCCACTGCAAACGATAGTGGCAAACTGAGTACAGATTACCTGTAATCAGTATAAAATACTAGCGGCCCGTCCCGGCTTCGCACGGGGGGACTTAAGATTTTTTACATAGTTTTACGTTTTATTTATATTTATTCTCAGTTTTTTTTTAGCGACCTTCCCTCCGTTGTCGATGTCGCGTCTTAAGGTAACCGATTGAACAATTCAAAAGTTATCTAGAGCAAACTTTTATAAGGATTGAACCATTCATTAAAACGATTGTTATGGGTAAACTATAAAAGGTAGACATATGCTCTCGCGGACTTTTTTAAAAATAATGTTAAGATAAACAATTCATCTATAGAACATTTTTGTATAACTTTAACTATATGCTCAGCGCACGCCACGGAAGGCCTCAGAAACGATACTTTTCCCCCGTTTTTAAAACATTTTTGGTTACTGCTCCACAACTATAGGACCTAGCGTGATATTATATAGCCTATGTTACTTCTGAATAATGCAGCTTTCGAATGGTGAAAAAATTATTGCAATCGGTTAAGTAGTTTTTGAGTTTATTCATTACAAACATACAAAAATACAAATCTTTCCTCTTTATAATATTAGTATAGAAGTATAGATTACCAATATTTCATTGCCATACGTATTTTTGTCATAGGTTTTTTCGTAGAAATAAATAGTATGTATACAATATAACATTATGCCTTTTACCCCCGAAGGGGTGGGCGGAGGTGCACATTACGGCACTTAATGCCACTGTAGAATGCTGTAGAATGTAACACCCACTTTTCAGTACTTATGTTGCGAATCCCATGTAATAGGGGGTGAGCCTATTGCCATATACCACCCATTTTTAAAAACCCAGTTATACTTTGCCCGAACCGAGAATCGAATCTGAGATCCTTTGCCGCACTTGCGACCGCACGGCCAATGAGGCAGTCTAGTAAGTAGTAGTCTAGCAGTTATTACTGTCATGCTAAACTATTGTTTATAGCCATAATTGTATACTGACCTTGGTTTCAGACTCTGTGGAAATGCTGTTACTGAGGACTTTTTGAAAAACCGATAAACTCAACGCCTTACCCAAAAACCGAACCCCTCACTCGGTATCTACGCTTATGGCTACGTGACCAACAAATGAGTTCAGTTAATAAGTCTTTATCTTTTTAAACAGTATTAGGTACTTACTTTCTAACTCCCTTCTCTTCGTAGGAACTTCGATAGAATCCATGTAGATTGTCGTTTAGGATACCAGTGTACTTGATGGATAAAATGTACTGCTTTCCAACTTCTAACGAAGATCCTAAGGTCAAGATATGAAAATTTCTCGGAATATCCTCAAGTTGTCTAACTATGTATATCAAATGGTCGTCATCCTTCTCATGGATTTTGATTTCATGTATCGTCAATTCAACACCATGGAAGGTAAGTTCTTTGGTTTCTTCAATCACTATTAGATGAATTATAACTTCTCCATCAAATGTGAAATTGCCCTCATAAATGTATGGGGTTATGTTAAGAAAATATCTCTCTGGTTTCACTTGCTTTGGCAGCCATAAGTTTGTTATATTTGGCATAGAGGAGTGAGTTGAACTTTCTAGAGGAATGACAGATCTACTGCTTTCTGTCGTTAAAGGTAACACTAACAGTTTTGATTGGTCACAATGACATAGTTCATATTTTGTGACGTTCGCCAGTTGGTCAATTTTTGGACATGCTGCATAGTTGTAGACTAAGAGTGAAGCAGTGACCAGAGCTAGAGCGAAGATCACTAAGATAATGAAGGCGAGACACTTGGAGAGATAGATGCCTCTCTTGGTCTTTGTGGAGTAGTCAGCTTGTGTGCCGTCCATTATGTTGAGAGGCTCGTGGGCTTGGGTCATTACGTCACCGTTTACTCGACCTGTAACAAATAACACTTTATTATTACGTGCTGCACAATGTGCCAGGTATAAACAACGATCAAAGTAAATTACTGTTAAAGTTTAAACACAGAAACCAAAAGATGAAAAACAAACAGTTTTTGTTACAAAAAGTTCGATACACGAACTAATTGGAATGTTCACATATACGGGATGGGCGCACGCAACTCCGAATGTTTGCGGAGAGCGCGGCTGAGAGCAATCTCGTCGAAAACAAACTCATCAAAATGTCGGTCTGTTTGTTTGAAAACTAAACCGCTTGTTACGGAGTCTAGTTGTTTGTTGAGGCCTATCCGAATAGACTATTAGGAAGGAACATAAACAACGTATTTTGGGCGGTAGTTGACTTTACTCTCTTATCGTTATACTTGACTCTTTTATAATTGGCATGATGGCAGGGTATGAAAATTAAAAATCTAATTAGTCCGTACGTTAGGTAATTAAAAAAAATAAGACACGTATTTTTTTATGTTGTCGTATGCTAAAAAATACTCATATAATCAAAGTTTAGGAGTGGAGGCTAAAACGTCATTTCTACGTATAAAATGTACATAGAGGTGACGTCACGCGACATTTCAAATCTATATCGTCGAAAGTATTCGTTTCCGTAAGAAAATAAAAAATACGTGTCTAATGGTTTAAAATACTCCACCAGACGGACATTAAAATAAAAATTAGGTATCTAACCTACTTAACCAGATAAAATAAGAAATTGGAAAGACACTCTAATTTGACATATTCATAATACGATTTTGCACATTAAGCCAAGCCCTGCAGGTATTTGCAAGGATTATCTAAGTACTACATAGGTAAGTATATTATTAACTTGTTGCTATGACGATGTGTACCATAACGTTCAATATCATATTATCAATTTGCCAACCAAGATGAAAGAATCCTGTCCATTGTGGGGCATTGTAACCAATTCGCAACGTCACTATCTACGTGAATATTATAATGTATGTTCACAGCGTACTGACGGTTGAGTATGAATGAGAACGGGTTCATTGAGAGTAAAAACTGATAATGATTGCGATCGTCCCCAAATGATAATAATTATGAAAAAAATAAAAAGTAGAGAATAATAATTTAAATTTATTCATTCTAAATACATAATAAATGACTTTGATTCTTAAAAGTTCAATGTCCTAAGGTCGTTTTTACTTTGAATTGTTTTTTACTCAACTACAAGATGTTGTGTCGGGTATTCAGCGTATAAAGTTGAAAGAAAATTATTCAGGCGAATACGCTTACGAAAGACTTATTTAAAATATCTTGAAAACTACGTTGTACAGTTTTCTTGAATTTTTAAGTGTAAAAAGGTAAGTTTTTCTGTAGAGTGAATGGATTGTGGAAATAAGTTTTTGATCGTTAAGTTTTATAAAGTTTCAAGTAGATGCATTGACTTTGTATCGAATATTTAACCGGAGTTTGTCGACAACTTAAATTGACTTGCTTTAAGAGGAAGAATACTTTTTTTTTTGCTGTAAAGACTTATTCTGTAGGGATATTGACAGTAATATTTTTTATGGCATAAGACAGTAAAGGAGCGCACGGATCACCTGATGGTAAGCAATTGGCGCCGCCCATGGATACCTGGTATACCAGAGGCATTACAAGTGCATTACCGGCCTTTTAGGGATTAGGAATTTGAGGATTAATAATGTTTTATCATTTAATGAGAATCTAGTCAAGAAGTCAGAAAATAATAGTAAGACCAATGATATGAAGATACAAAGAAGCAACTCATATTTGTCACAAGACAATCGTATTAACATTGATTTGCAGGTTAATAACGCGACATGTTACATTGTCTTATTCATACTTTGTCTCAGTAACCCAGTGTCTATAACAAGGCGGATAACTGAGAATAATAATACAACTACAACACAAATTTAGCAAAAGCAAGCGTAGAAAAATACACAAAAAATAATTCATCAACAGCCTGCAAATACCCACTGCTGAGCAAATCCTCTTCTCACACAGAAAAAGCATTAATCACCACGCTTGCTCAATGCGGGTTGGCGATTATAAACTTATAATTAGAAATTATGAGTAAGCCCAGGTTTCCTCACGATATTTTCCTTTACCGTTTGTCAGTGGTGTCTAGATAATCTTAGAAAGTATATATAACACGGAAAACGTCACATTGGTGCTTGCCGTTGGTAGGTTTACCCGCACCCCCTTGCATGATAAGCGGGCGTCTTAAACCTCCGGGCTACCACGTCATTAAAAATAATTAACCAAAACGATTATATTTTTCTTTTTTGCAGGCATTGGCACATTGTGAATCATGACCAGCCAATGACAGTCTGTTGCTGAACTATGAACCACCTCTACGTATGAGGGATAAGTTGGATTACCCATAATCTTCTCACTTGGTATAAGTTCGGATTTCTGGTGCCCGTTTCTGTCAAAACGTGTAGTACTTACGTAAGCACGTACAACGTCCAAAATGAATAAGCTATTTTAGTCAAAAAAATATATTTTAATCTGAAATCCGAGGATTAAGATTTATGACAGAAACAACATTTAACTAATGATAAAGTCGATCCATATCCACAGATTTTGGACTAAAATAGGTTATTAATTACTGCAGTTGTACGTGTAACTCTACACGTTTTTTACATCGTTGATAGAAACGTGTGTTACATTGATACATGCCGTAATGTACACGTCTGCCTACTTAGGGATAGAAGGCGTGATGTAATGTGTATTAATTTCGGCGTTTAATCGACACAAATAATACCCGCAGGAGGAGCAGAGGTAGTGTTAATATAAAACGGAATATAAAAATCTATTTTGTATTCCGTGGTCTCAAATATATTATTCCGAATGGCGGAAATTTTCAAACAGATGACTTAGGTTGGCATAGTGGTTGGGCAACTGGTGCCACGCAAGAGCAGAGGGTTCGATGGTGGGACAAATTAAAAAAAATATTAGAAGATAGTCCTTTACATTAGATCTTCTATCTTGTACCTGTATATTGCTCACAGCCGCTCGTTAGTGCATTATATTACACTTGTAAAGGCAAGGTTACCTTCACAAACATTAATTTATAAGCCGATAACATAAATCTAGTACATAATGGGCTCACTAACCACGTGGCTGTGGTCGTCCTTATATACATAACTAGCTTCTGCCAGCGGCGTTGCCCGCCGAATTATGTATTGTCTAAGTTGCAGTTTTATTTTAATTTATACACCAGATGTTAAGTTGGTAGAAAACAAATACATCTGTGAAAACTGCATTCGAATCAGATCAGTAGTTTTCATGTGATGCGTTTACAAACATACAGGCAGACAAAGAAATTTAAGCACATTTTTGGGTTCTATATCGATGTAGTAAATGTAATATATTTAAACTGTCAAACACCGCGAGGACACGGGTGACCGCAACCTATTGTTCTTTAATTGTGTCTATAATGATGGTACTCAAAGGGTTAATGAGCAGAATTTTCATTTCTACAGTGTCATGATATGTATAGGATAGATATAAGTCGATAACACAAATCTAGTACATAATGTAGCCACTAACTGCGTGGCTGTGGTCGTCCTTACGTACATAATATTATAACTTATGTATGGACGTATCTACGCTCACCTGTTTATACAGGTGAGCTATAGAATATCAAGTTTCTTGCAAAGATCAATGACCTTTCTATATCTGACCTAATACTCAATACCACGTGTTTTATTCCTCGAAGGGGTAAGCAGTACTTTCAAGTATACCGGAGTGATACCACGGCCTCACAGAAAACAGACGTGAAACAGCCCTCGCATTGTGTTTCTTCGTGTGAGTGAGGTTACCAAAGGCCCAATTACCCCCTACTCTAGTCTCCCCAATCCCCGAATCCCCCACAATCCTCAAATTCCTAATTCCCAAAAGGCCGATAACGCACTTGTAACGCCTCTGGTGTTTTGGGTGTCCATGGGCGACGCCGATTGCCTACCATCAGGTGATCCGTCTGTCCGTTTACCAGCTTATCTCAGAAAAAAAAAATATCAGCCAGTTTTCACCACCTACGTTATGTTTATGCAATAAATTAGGAGTGACCCTATTGTCGTACATCAGGTATGATACAAGTAATTGTGCGATGTATTTGAACAGGAGCTGTTCAACAATTTATCTGAGCCGACAATTGAACATCAGACTCAGACTTGACTGCTTAGCCTGGCGATCACCTGGGGTTTCTAATAATCGAATTATTTATCGAAGTTTTAAAATAAGTTTAACCTGCCAAAATAAAACGTGTAAATGTAAAACTATTCTCGGAGTAACATGTAAAAATTCTTACTTATGTTACAAATCGGAAAGTGAGTTTGTTTGTTTGTTTGTTAGTTCCGCTTTCACGCCGTAACTACTAAACCGATAGCTTTGAATTTTTGCAGACGTAAAGTTAGAAGTCCAGATTAAATAATAGGGTACTTTTTATCTCGGAAAAATTTGATATTCCCGAGGGAAAACAAAAGTATTGGTATAGATGGCGCTGTGTGTATCGTTATATGTCACATAGGCTACTTTTTATCCTTTTGTGACGCGAGCGAAGCCGCGGGTAAAAGCTAGTAATATATAAACAAACAGTTAAAAGAATGTACTCAAATAAATCAGACCCGACGGACGTTGTCCTGCTTATAATATAATAATAGTAGGTATAGATAAATAACCGAGATATCGACTGCAGCGCCATCTGCCGGGCTTATTTGTAAATCTAATCCATCCAGGGCACCACTCAAACGCATACATAAAAATTCATTTAAATCGGTCAAGCCGTACAGCAGAATTATATATATAAAGACTAAAACGTATTTCTTTTTAATCCCCGTATTTACAATGTAAACCGAAATAAATTGTAGATTATATTTCACCCCTTTTTAAAACTTTGACACTTCATAAATCATTTCAACGGTTTAATTCAAACCAGTCTTTCAGGTTTTTCAAAGAAAAAATGTATTAAAGAGAAACATTATGTAAAGATTTT